GTTAGGGAGGTGATCATCCCCCTGTACTCGGCTCTGGTGAGGCCGCACCTCGAGTACTGTGTTCAGTTTTGGGCCCCTTGCTACAAGAAGGACATCGAGGTGCTTGAGCGGGTCCAGAGAAGGGCGACCAAGCTGGTGAAGGGCCTGGAGAACAAGTCCTACGAGGAGTGGCTGAAGGAGCTGGGCTTGTTCAGCCTGGAGAAGAGGAGGCTCAGGGGCGACCTCATTGCTCTCTACAGATACCTTAAAGGAGGCTGTAGTGAGGTGGGGGTTGGTCTGTTCTCCCACGTGCCTGGTGACAGGATGAGGGGGAATGGGCTAAAGTTGCGCCAGGGGAGTTTTAGGTTAGATGTTAGGAAGAACTTCTTTACTGAAAGGGTTGTTAGACACTGGAACAGGCTGCCCAGGGAAGTGGTAGAGTCACCATCCCTGGAAGTCTTTAAAAGACGTTTAGATGTAGAGCTTAGGGATATGGTTTAGTGGGGACTGTTAGTGTTAGGTTAGAGGTTGGACTCGATGATCTTGAGGTCTCTTCCAACCTAGAAATTCTGTGATTCTGTAACTGCTCCATGTGGGACCCATGGGCCACAGGGGGACAGCCTGCTCCATCATGGTCTTCTCCACAGGCCACGGGGAAACTTCAGCTCTGGCACCTGGAGCACCTTCTGCCCTCCTTCTTCACTGACCTTGGTATCTGCAGGGCTGTTTCTCATTCCTCACTCTCCCAGGTGCTGTTGCGCAGCACATTATTTTCCCTTTCTTAAATACACTTTCAGAGAGGCACAACTAATGTTGCTTCTTGCCTCAGCTCTAGCCTGTAGCAGGTCCCTTTTGGAGCCGTCTGGAACTGGCTTGATCTGACATGAGGCAACTTCTGGACTCTTCTCACAGAGGCCACACCTGCAGGCCCCTGCTACCTAAACCTTGTCAAGTAAACCCAATACACCGGTACATCTCTTTTAATCTGCCAGATTTATTCTCTATTTCAAAAATCCAATCCCGTGTTACTGATTTCAAGGCACAAATGACAAATAACAAGGGTGTTCTAGACTGGGGTCTTTGTGCTTTACTGTTTGAACCTTTGAAAAACAGATCCTGATATGCAGAAGTAATATACTTAAACAAAGAACCTGAGTGCACATTTATAATTAGCACATAGTTGACATCTCAGGCCATAGAAGGAGCCATTGTGTCTGGAAGATTGTATTTTATCTGTAGTAAAACATATTAAAAAAAAAAAAAAAAAACCACAAACAAACGCATTTCTCACAAGAGATTGTTAAGACTACTGTCCTGGTTTCAGTTAGAACAGAGTTAATTTTCTTCCTAGTAGCTGGAAGAATGCTATGTTTTGGCTTAGGATGAGAAGAGTGCTGATAACACCCCGACGTTTTAATTGTTGCAGAGCAGTGCTTATACTGAGCCAAGGACATCTCAGCTTCTTGCTCTGTCCTGCCAACGGGCAGGCTGGGGGTGCAGCAAGAGCTGGGAGGGGACAGACCCAGGACAGGTGACCCAAACTAGCCAAAGGGGTATTCCATCCCATCTGACGTCATGCTAAACAATATATAGGGGTGGCTAGCTGGGAGAGGGGGGCTGGACTGCTTGGGGTTAGGCTGGGCATCGGTCAGCGGGTGGTGAGCAATTGCATTGTGCATCACTTGTTTGTACACATTATTAGTAGTAGTACTATTATCATCATTGTATTATTATTATTATTGTTATTATTATTTTCCTGTCTTATTAAACTGTCTTTATCTCAACTCATGGGCTTCACGTTTCATTTCTCTCCCCCGTCCCAGAGAGGGAGGGAGGAGAATGAGCGAACGTCTGTGTGGTGTTTAGCTGCCAGCCGGGTTAAACCACGACAACTACATAAACCTTATTCATATGAACCAGATCAGTTACCACAATACATCTAGTGGGAGAGCTCTGATGAACCCCACAGGCAAATCTGGGCTTGAGATTCTGTTTTATTTATTTATTCTTTTTCACAGAATCACAGAATTTCTAGGTTGGAAGAGACCTCAAGATCATCGAGTCCAACCTCTGACCTAACACTAACAAGTCCTCCACCATATCACTAAGCTTTACATCTAAATGTCTTTTAAAGACCTCCAGGGATAGTGACTCAACCACTTCCCTGGGCAGCCTGTTCCAATGCCTAATAACACTTTCAGTAAAGAAGTTTTTCCTAAGATCCAACCTAAAACTCCCCTGGCGCGACTTTAGCCCATTCCCCCTCGTCCTGTCACCAGGCACGTGGGAGAACAGACCAATCCCCACCTCACTACAGCCTCCTTTGAGGTACCTGTAGAGAGTGATAAGGTCACCCCTGAGCCTCTTCTCCAGGCTGAACAAGCCCAGCTCCTTCAGCCGCTCCTTGTAGGACTTGTTCTCCAGGCCCTTCACCAGCTTGGTCGCCCTTCTCTGGACTCGCTCGAGCACCTCCATGTCCTTCTTGTAGCGAGGGACCCAAAACTGAACACAGTACTCGAGGTGCGGCCTCACCAGAGCCGAGTACAGAGGGACAATCACTTCCCCCTGGCCTGCTGGCCACACTGCTTCTTATGCAAGCCAGGATGCTGTTGGCCTTCTTGACCATCTGAGCACACTGCTGGCTCATATTCAGCCAACTGTCCACCATCACTCCCAGGTCCTTCTCTGCCTGGCAGCTTTCCAACCACTCATCTCCCAGCCTGTAGCTCTGCTTGGGGTTGTTGCGCCCCAGGTGCAGGACCCGGCACTTGGCCTTGTTGAACTTCATGCAGTTGACCTCAGCCCATTGGTCCAGCCTACCCAGATCCTCCTGCAGAGCCTTCCTGCCCTCAAGCAGATCGACACACGCGCCTAGCTTGGTGTCATCTGCAAACTTACTGAGGGTGCACTCAATGCCCTTGTCCAGATCATCGATAAAGATATTAAAGAGGACTGACCCTAGTACTGAGCCCTGGGGGACGCCACTAGTGACTGGCCTCCAACTGGATTTGACTCCATTCACCATAACTCTTTGGGCCCGGCTATCCAGCCAGTTTCTAACCCAACGAAGCGTAAGCCAGCCCAAGCCATGAGCAGCCAGTTTCTTGAGGAGAATGTTGTGGGAAACGGTGTCAAAAGCCTTACTGAAGTCAAGGTAGACCACATCCACAGCCTTTCCCTCATTCACCAAGCGCGTCACTTTGTCATAGAAGATCAGGTTTGTCAAGCAGGACCTGCCTTTCATAAACCCATGCTGACTGGGCCTGATCCACAAGTTTTGATGGAAAACAAAATCCTTGTATAAGACAACTTCCAAATTGTGGGAGTCAGGCTTTGTCATTGGTTGTCTCTATGTCCTGACCATGAACATTCCAATTGCTTTACTTGACTTTACTTTACTGACACAGCAGAGACCACACTCAGCAGGACAATAGGAGGATGGCCTCTCTCACCAAGGAGGAAGAAGTCTTTAGCTCACATCTGTCTTTCTGGTAAGATGAAGACAATAGTAACCTGGAGAGTAAAGGTGGATTTAATAAGAGAAAAACCCTATTACTAGGTCTGCCCAAACATAAATTTCTGGATGATCACTATGTTACCTTATAATTAACCTATGTGCAAATGAAATAATTTACACAAAATATTAATCACAAAGAAACACTAATTCATATCGATCTATCTCCTGCACCTCTTTTTTCATCAGCGCAAGATCACATTTCTTGTCCTTTATCCCAAGGCATTTCTAAACAGTTTTCTGTGTCTCCAATCTGTCTGCTTGTAGGAAGCCTGGCTAGTTGTCTGGCTTTTGTCTCCCACCCAAAGGGTCTGGTACAGCTCCTTTTGCCACCTTCTCTGGCTGCAGCATCCCTCTGGCAGCCTCAGAACTCCACAAGGGATGGGAGATGGATTCCAGGCAGGACCTAGCTGCAGAGCTTCTCAGACGGAATCACAGAATCACAGAATTTCTAGGTTGGAAGAGACCTCAAGATCATCGAGTCCAACCTCTGACCTAACACTAACAGTCCTCACTAAACCATATCCCTAAACTTTACATCTAAACCTAAGAGGAAAGCAGCTGACTCTTTTAAAATGTTGAAATTTTCAAGTCTGTTGCTGTCTTCTAAACTGCTTGATGTTTTGTTTAAAATTGAGGCGCTTGTAATATTTCTGTAAAGATACATCATGTGTGTGGCCATCCATATTTAACAACTTTTATACTTTACTGATACAATAAATAAAGCTATATTTTTGATGATGAAACTTGTTAATTTATATACTTAAAAACATGTTTTCTGAAGGAACTCACATGATGATGGTTTTTACTTGGCCTCCAGGGCCTACATATGCAAAAATAGTTGATTTTTATAAACTAAAAAAGGCAAAAAGATCATGCACATAATCATAGAATCATGGAATGGCTCTGGTCGGAAGGGACTTTAAAGAGGTCCAACCCCCCTGCCAATAGAGACAAGGATGCTAGGTTGGCAAAGGCTCCATCCAACCTGGCCTTGAACACCTCTAGGGATGGGGCATCCACTTCTCTTGGCAATCTGTTCCAGTGTCTCACTATCCTTACATTGAATTTCCTCCTAAAGTCTAATCTAAATCTAGCCTCTTTTAAAGACCATTCCCCCTTGTCCTATAGTTATCTACCCTAGTAAAGAGTCCTTCTCCATCAAGGGAGAGGAGAAAACACAACTCACCAGAGCCTGCTGTTGAGAGCATAGAAAACTGTTTGTTAGTTTTGACCACAAAAATGCTTTAAAATAAAAGGTATTTTGCTGAGAGATAACAAAGTTCTTACAATTTTTACATTATTAGCTCCCAAGTAAAATGTATCCTAAAGCACTTAAAGCTTTTAAATATCTTAATGTCTCTGGGAGAAATCAGTCATTTTTAAATTGGAAAAGGCATCAGAAGATATGTAGTGTCTGGTGCTTGTGATCCATTGCAATAAAATGTTATATAAACAAAGTGGATGTTCTAGTAAAAAGCTTTAAAAACTAAATATATATTTTCAAAACGTTTTAATATTTACTTTTAATTAATATTTTATCTAAACATACAGCCTTGTATTGATTAAAGAGGCTACATTCTTAACACTGATAAAAATGTAAAAGAAATGCTTTTCTAAAAGTACCAGAAATATTTTTGTTAAAACATAGTCTTGATCTAGTGTTAGTCAATGAATTTATATGGTCTCTGCAAGAAAGTAGTATGTCACAGCTGGTAATATTTACAGGTCTGAACACCTGCAGACTGACAAATACTTCAAAAAGCATTACTAAGTTACATAAGCTTCATAAACTGAGTCTGCTCAAACAACACATCAAAGTCATAGGCAGCTTATCTCAGAAAAATGCCATTTGTAAAGCTGTCAGTGGAGATCTAAGGACAAAGCTGCACCATGGGGAGATGCAGACACAGGGAAAGCTAGGGCAGCTACATTGTTGGCACCTGGTGGAAAGAAGGAGTGGTGGGAGAATGGAGTCCATGAGCAGCCCTGAAAAATTTTTAGGTGATATTTGATGTTTTCGTATAATCATAGAATCATTAAGACTGTAAAAGATCATCTGTTTTTATGACATATGCTAGCACTTAGAGCGTTTGCCAGTAAAGCACAGGAAATAATCATAACAAATGCTATGTAACTAGATGTGAGCTAGGTAATTACATGTGTTTGTGCCTGGGGTATGCATTTATATTGTAGGTAAATATTGTCTGCTGATCTTTATTTTGCCTTTTCCTTTTCTTCTTTCAGTATGTCAAGTGGCTTGACATACTGAAAGACTTGCAGACTGATTGAATGTTAAAAAAACTGAATTATTCAGGTCTCCAGGTGAGCTATATGTAATAATCAAAATTTTTTCATTATCCATTATCCATTTTGGGTACTTCAGGAAGAAGTTGGAAGCAGCCCATTTCCCCCAATGACATAAATGTCATTATTTGGGCCAAATCATAAAGGATATCTGCAGGACAGGTAGAGCAAACCTGAAAATGCATCACAGTGCGTGGCTTGTGTCATAAAACAGCGAAAACAAAAATAAAACAAAAATGTGTGTCAAAATGTTTCATTTGGGCATTTAAAAAAAAAGAACAAAACCTTTTTGGTCTTTCATTTCATAATGGCTTTTCCAGCACTAACTGTAAGGTAAGAAGTTTAAACATACAAGCAAAAGTTTGTTTCATCCTGAGCTTTCTTTATATATAAATTATTCCATGTTGCTTAAATAAAACGTATCTGGGTTGACCTGAAACTGATTTTTTGAGATGGGGAATGATTTCAGTTGGCAGAGAGAAAAAGTCTTCTAATCAAGTATCTCTATGAAATATACAGCTAAAAAAAAAAAAAAAAGAGAGAGAGAGAGAGAGAGAGAGAAACAAATAACTAACGACTTCTCTATTATGTGAATAGAATGGTGGACATGTATGGATGAAGCTGATAGGGGACACAATGACCAGAATCTGTTCATTTTCAGCATATATCTTGCTCCCCTGTGTACATGTCTCTTATCATCATTTATCATCTAGACTGGTAGACCCAAAGGATTTGTTTGATCCAATGAGCCTCTTCTACCCTGGCTGCACAGGTTAGGAACATTCAGATTTTTCTCAGATTAAGAAAACAGGGACATTTGGGGTATTAACTGCTAGCAAGTAATACGTCTGCTTTCTCTTTGCATTAAGCATGTCAGAAGGACTGTACAGCCTGGAGATGAAAGAAGAGGCTCTTTCAAAATACCATGGCTGTTGATAGGTGCTGTCAGTGGACTGCTTTCTAAATCTCACTTTCTTCAAAGACCACTTCCTCAGTTGTCTCTCCAGTGGTGACTTCTCCTTCACTGCTGTCTGACACACTTGCCCGCAGATGAGATGGAAGCCTACAGCCTGGCTCTGAGCATTGATCTGTCCTCTGGTTTGCCAGAACCTGCTGGAGCTGCATGCCCCAGGGCTTACTCTCCTCCAAGCACAAGTGTTTGCTGTTGGGGTGCTTTTTTTTCTGTTTCTGTGAACATTTCCTGAGGTATTTTATGTTTTCTCCAAGAAAGCAGAGTTTACAACCAAAGGGGTCTGCCAGCAGGAAGCGGGACCACTGTTTCTGGAGTTCTGCTTTCACCTGGGGGAAGAAGAAAAAAGTGCGTCCATGGTGATGACTTGTAACCACCCACAGTCTGCTAATCCAAACACTAATCATAAAATGAGAGGGATTGTGGAAGTGTTTTTGCCCCTTTGGGTGTCACCTCACAGCTTTTGAGGTTTTTGTAGCCCCTGAATCTCTCTCTATAATTTTATATACTGTGATCCTGATGTGTGTGTAAAGGAAGAACTCAATTGACTTTCATGTTTACCTGATGAACTGAGGAGGAGACAAGTCCAAGGGCTATGGAAATGAGGACCATGCCGCTTTTCTGGAGTGTTATGCTTGAATATTTGCTTTGTTTTGCTGAAGCTTTTTGTTTGGCAGCTTGCCTTAAATTCTCAGTACGGAATGTCTTGCACTGAATGTCCCCTTGCTTTACCAGCAGGACCTTTAGCCTGAGGGCTCAGCTGACTGAGGAGTTAAAAGCCCCAAAGAACAACTTTTAACTGATGTTGAGAGATGCTAGCAGGTCTGTGCCCTCCATAAATGTTAGACAAATGCTCTTGTGCTGCAGACAAGTGTCGGCTCTCTGTTTTGCTTAGCAGTTCAGAAATTGTTCCAGGTTTCCTTGTTAAATATTAGAAGCGTATACCTTACCTTTTCTACATAGCTCATCTCCTCTGTTGCCTTTAAGAAAGTGTCCAATGTTGTGTTCAAATGTCAGTGTACCACATCAGCTGGCTGTGCCAGGCTGTTAAATGCTACGGATTTTGGATAAGTGTCAGTTTAGCACAAGTAGTGGATATCTGTACCCATGTGGACTATAAGGGAAGTGTAAACAATGGGCTTCAAGTTGGAAAACATTTAAAATTGTGAGATGAATTCCACAGCCTACATAAGCCTCATATCCTGAAGTGGCCTGTAGCAAGTCAGTGTGATAATGGTAAAAGCTGCATACAACTGTGACAGCGATCAAGGATGATACATCATTGGTACAGCCCTCTGATAATCTCCCCCCCCTCTTTTTTTTTTTTCTCATTGGCAGTAATGAGGTAGCAGAGAGAAGTCCAAGAGTGATCAAAAGGGACTTTTTGGCTCTGGGGCAATTGCTTAAAGGATCAGGTGCACAGGTAGTGTTTTCCTCCATCCTTCCAGTAGTGGGAATCAACACTGAAAGGAACAGCCAGACCCAGCAGATCAATACATGGCTTTGAGGCTGGTGCCACCAGTATAATTTTGGGTTTCTTGATCATGGTAAGGTCTACATGACACGAGGCATACTGGCTTCCCGTGGGGAGCACCTTTCTCAGAAAGGGAAAAGGATTTTTGCCCGGGAGTTAGCAGGGCTGACCAATAGGGCTATAAACTAGATTTGAAGGGGAAAAGGGACAAAACTAGGCCCACCACTTATAAGACTGAACGCCAATATTTGTCAGACTGCAAGCTAGCAAGACCCTTCAGTCTGCCCCATGAGGGGCTGGGTTCAATGAAGCACATCTGAAATGTTTCTATATGAAAGCACAGCATGAGAAACAAGCAAGAGGATCTAGAAACCTTGGTCCAGTCCCAGAGCTACAACATCATTGGCATAAGTGAAATCTGGTGGGAAGAGTCCTGTGACTGATGTGTTACAGTGGACAGTTACAGTATCTTCAGAAGGGACAGGCAGGACAGGTGAGGCAGGGGTGTGGCACTCTATGTAATGGAATCACTGGGTTCTACGGAGCTTGCACTTGGCAACAATGCAATTGAGAGCTTCTGGGTAAGGATCAAGGGACAAGCAAATAAAGGAGATGTCATTGTGGGAGTCTACCTAGCCAGGATGATGGCACTGATGAATTATTCTTTAAGGAACTGAGAGATACTTCTAGATCAGCTACCCTAGTCCTTATGGGGTATTTCAACCTGCCAGATGTCAACTGGAAATATCACATACCTGAGACAAACAAGTCCAGGACGTTCCTGAAGCACCTTGATGATAACTTCTTGGTACAGGTACTAAGATAGCCAACTAGGAAAGGTGCCCTCCTTGACCTGTGCCTTGTAAACAGGGTCTTTGTGGTGAAGTGGCCAGCTTGGTCATAGCAACCATGATGTAGTCAAATTCAAAATCTTTGGTGATAGGAGGAAAACTGACACCAAAACTTCAAGTCTGGACTGGGGGAGAGCAGACTTCAGACTGCTCAGGGAAATAGCTAGTGAGCTCTCCTGGGAAACTGATTTTAAAGGCATTGGGGTCCAACAGTGATGGTCAGTTTTTAACTACCTCCTCCTAAGAGTGCAGGAACAAGAAATTCCAAAATGTCAGAAGTCAAGCAGGAGACGCAGAAGGCTGGCCTGGCTGAGCAGGGATCTTCTTCAAGAGCTTTGGTGGAAAAAGAAAGAGTATGGCTACTGGAAGCAAGATAGGGAGATAACAGAGGACTACAAGAATGACGCTCACCTTTGTAGGTAGGGAATTTGTGTGGCAAAGGTTCAATTAGAGTTGAAGCTGGCCAGTACTGTGGAGCACAACAAAAAGGGCTTTTTAAAGTATGTTAACAGCAAAAGGACCAGAGATAATATTGGTCCATTACTTGATACCACCTCTCACAGTATCCTTGTAGACAAAATGACCAGAATACAGTCAGATAAAAGCATAATAAGATGGGTGAACAGTTGGCTGATGGGTCGGACCCAGAGGATTCTTCTAAATGGGGTTGCCTCAGGCTGGTTACCTGTCACTAGTGGGGTTCCCCAGGGCTCTGTTTTAGGACCAGTCCTCTTCAATGTTTTCATAAACAATTTGGATGTAGGACTTGAAGGTTTTTTGAGCAAGTTTGCAGATAGTACCAATCTAGGAGGAGCTGTTGACTCTGTCGAGGGTGGTGAGGCTTTGCAGAGAAATCTAGACAAATAAGAGAGTTGAGCAATCACCAACAATATGAAGTTTAACAAGAGCAAGTCTTGGATTCTGCACCTGGGGAGGAACAACCCTAGCTATATATACAGGTTGGGGAAGGAGGGGAGCAAGATGCTGGAGAGCAGCCCCACAAAAAGGAATCCGGGGGTTTCAGTTGACAGCAAGCTGAACATGAGCCAGCAGTGTGCCTTGGAGGGCAAACCGTATCCTGGGGTGCATCAAACACAGCATTGCTAGCTGGTCAAGGGAAGGGATTGTCCCAGTATACTCTGCACTGGTGCAGCCTCACCTCAAGCACTGTGTGCAGTTTTGGGTGCCACAGTATAAGAAAACTGTTAGAGAGTGTCCAAATGAGGGCTACAAAGATAGTGAAGGGGAAGTGATAGGGGAGGGGAAGATGTATCAGGAGCAGGTGAAGTCACTTGGTTTGTTCACCTGGAGAAGAGAAAACTGTGAGGAGGCCTCTTTTCAGTCTACAACTTCCTCATGAGGGGGAGTAAAGGGGCAGGTGCTGATCTCTGCTCACTGGTGACCTCTGATAAGTACCTGAGGGGAATGGCTTGAAGCTGTGACAAGGGCGGTTGGGGCTGGGTATTAGGAAAAGGTTCTTCATCAAGAGAGTGTTCAGGCACTGGAACAGGCTCCCCAGGGAAGCGGTCATGGTGCCAAGCCTGCTGCAGTTCAAAAAGTATTTGGACAACACTCTCAGACACCTAGTCACATGGTCTGATTTTTTGGGTGGCCCTGTGGGGACACAGGAGTTGGACTCAATCCTCATGGGTCCGTGGGTCAGGATATTCTGTGATTCTATGATAACAGTACACTGGGCTGTATAGCACAACCATTTGGATGAAGAAATTATCCTCCTTTTCTCAGTAGTTGTAAGGCCATGTAGTGGGTTTATGCTGGAAGGTTTTGGTAGCAGGGAGCTGCAGGGGGGCCTCTGTGAGAAGAATCCAGAAGCTGCCCCATGTTAGATAAGGGCCAGTCTGAGCCAGCTCCAAAGGGACCCACAGCTGCTCAAAGCTGAGCCAATAAGTGATGTTGTTTGCACCTCTGTGAGAGCATATTTAAGAAAAGGGGAAAAAAAAAAATCATGCTGCACAACAGCAGCCAGGAGATAGAGGAAAGAGAAACAGCCTTGCAGACATCCAGGTCATTGAAGAAGGAAAGCAGGAAATGTTCCAGGCATAGGAGCTGAAGTTTCCCTGTGGCCTGTGCAGAGGCCCTTGGTGGAGCAGGCTGTCCCCCTACAGCCCGTGAAGTATCACAGTAGAGCAGGTTTTCACACTGCAGGCCATGAAGGAGTCCACAGTGGAGCAGGTAGATGTTGCGTGAAAGAAGCTGAAGCCTGTGGAGAACCCCTGAAAGAGCAGACTCTGGGCCAGACCTGTAGCCCATGGAGAGGGGACCACATAGGAGCTGTTGACCTGGCAGGAGCTTCTGCACATGGGCGAAGCAATGTTGGAGCAGTGTGCTCCTGATGGATGGGCCCATGGTATGGACCCAAAATTGGAGCTGTTCTTGAAGGGCCGCTGCCAGTGGGAAGCCCATGCAGTATCAGTTCAGGAAGGACTGCATCCCGTGGGAGGGACTCCACAGCGCAGGGGAGGAGAGTGACTGAGAAGGAGCGGCAGAGACAAAGTGCTATAGACTGACCGCAGGCCTCATTTTCCCATTCCCTTGCACCATTCCCTTGCACTGCTCAGAGGGAGCAGGTGGAAGAGAGTGGATGGGGGGAAGTTATTTTTGGCTTCCTTCCTTTGTTTCTCACTTCTCTAGTTTCCTAGTAATAGGCAAAAAAAATTACTAACCTCCCTACTCTAAGCCTATTTTGCCTGTCATGATAATTGTTGAGTGATCTCCATCCTTATCTCAATCCTTGAGCCCTTTGCATCATATTTTCTCCCTCTTTCCCTTTGAGGAGGGGGAGTGAGAGAGTAATTGTGGTAGAGCTTGGCTGCCCAGCAGAATAAAACCACAGCCCACATCTGAATGCTGCATCTGGTTTTGAGCTCTGAGTTGCTTTGTAGGGATATAAGAGCCAGCAGTCGTAAAAGAAAATAGAAGTTCTAACTGGAACTACAGAAAATATGTTTCCTTCTGAGAGCAGTGAAGCACCAGAGCAGAGGACAAGAGAGACGGTAGAACCTTTCTTTGGAGATTTTCAAAGCTCACTAGGATAAATAGCTGGGCACCCTTCTCTGAATTCAGTCTTCACAGTGCACCGATCAAGAAGTTGTCTAAGTATTTCCTGAAGTCCCTTCCTGACTTGTTCTGTGATTTTCTGCTGGCATATCCTTGCAAAATTGGCATTATTGATCTGCCTAAATTCTGGAGTGGAGTAAACAGACGCCCCCATATTACTCTTGAGGCTTAGCAAAAGACAATCTCCAGCCAAGAAATGGCCTTATATCAAATTTAGAGATGTCCTGTGAAGTGCACACATGAAAATATATTTTTCAACTTGTTCTTTTTTAATATTAAAGCACTCCAAATTTTGCATCTTTGCCTAGACTTCAGGGGTAAGCAAGGCAAGAGTCAAACACGAAGTCTGAGATTTCATCTGTGTAAATGAATGGGGTTTAGGTACCTGATAATAAGCCGTTAGTGGTATTTCACAGACATCTATACCTCCACAGTGTCACATAGTAACACAAGCTTTAATGGAAATACCTTAAATTTTAATACAGACCTGAGAGGTCTTACTGCTTTCTTTGTTCAAAATATTTACATCAATTTAAAAGAATGCAAGTATGTTCCCAAATAATCAGAGCCAGTCAGTATTTTCATCCTTCTTGGTGTCAGTATATTTTGTTTATCGATTAAAAACTTATATCATTAATTGACTCTTACCTCTCCATTGGCAAAGCAATATAAAACTGCTACAAAAAAACCCTGTAAGAGACAGACAATAAAGAAAAGTTAGATACCTGAAGTCTCAGTTTAGCGATGTCATTAGTATTAAAGTCATAAATATAAACAACATTTCCTAATTTTCAGAATGGAAACTAGCTATCTGTCTTCTCTTATTAGTGAAGTACCTATTAACTTGTTTTCCTATGGTGCCTTAGCAAAATTAAGGCACAATTGCAGGTGTTTTGGTGCAGATGCTGAAGAACAGAGCCTATACAACCCCATCTGATCTTACATTTTATCTACATTTTACTACATTATTTTTAAGACTACTACTGTTATACTGAAACTGCTACTTTTAGACTTATTAGACTTGTATCCAAAAATGCAAATATATTAAGTGTTCTGACTATTTTGAAATGTCATTTCTCCTGTGAAACAGATTTAAGTAAACACCTTAAGGAAAGAAAAAAAAAAAAAAAAGATTTGAAATTTTAGAAATCAAACTTGTTTAAGATAAGCCAAAAATTACCCCTCCCATTTTCCTCCTCCCTGTCTTTGATCTCAAATCAAAACAGATTATGTGTATGCATCTCAGACTAACAGTCTGGCACAAATGTACAGATTTATGGCAATTGCTTCAGGAAATGAACTTCCTTTAGTACGTCTAAACACATCTATGGCACAGATTCTGATGAAGAGAATAAATGTTGTTGACTATCAGTCCCAAGGCAATGTTCATATAACAAGGAAAAAGGTGTCATAACCAGTTGATATCATTCATCTGTTTTCACAGTCATACTTTTTTTTCCAGAGGTGTTTCTGTTTTTCTCATATAAAATCTTAAAAAGAAATTAATGTGTACAGCAGCTTCAATATTTTTTATTCATTGACCTGTAGCAGTCTGAGCCAACAGTGAATTTTTCTAGCAATTTAAACATATGTCCAGTTAGTGTGAAAAAGAACAGTCTGTCTGCCATATCAGTGAAATAAGGGCAGGAGAAATAGCAGTTGCAATTGCTTTATCCCTGTATTTTAATTCTGCCATATTTCATGCTTCACCTGGATTGTGGTTGCAAGATCCAGGTACTTTTGCTATACCATTTATTAATGTAACTTTTAAATAATTCTCTGCATCTGGGTTATTTCACAGAAATATGAAAAAAAAAAAAAATCACTAAATATTATTCCACAGAGAAAGGTTCTGAGGCATAAAAACAAGTTAAGTGGTTTAAAAAGCAGCCATTTATTTAGAAATTATTCTCTCTTTGGGTAGAAATTCCATTAAAATCCAGTTCTGTACCGTGTTTGTTTGTTTGCTTGTATATATTCTGAGCATGAGCTCTGAATTTGGACCCACAAGCACCACAAGCAGAAATAGGAGCCGAATTACTTGGTGCTGCTATGTCACAAGCTTTGTACCATCCATTACCAGAAATGTGGAAAGTCACCAAATTAAGAGAAAGCTTTATGAGTACTGATGGCACCTCTACGTTGAACAAAGTTTCATAAATTTCTGTGTGAATTAAATCCACTGCTGCTGCAAAAGTAGAACATGCAATGACAGGGAGAAACACAGTAAATTCACATTAGTTGATGGCAAATTCAGCTGACTACTCATGTTTGCTGTTTGTTTTATATCCTGATATTTTTAATGCTTCTTCCTTTGCCATACATAGAACTTTGTTCTTAGAAATCTTTCTTTTATTTCATGACTTCCGAGGAATACACCTTCTAAACGACCAGAATATGAAGCGAAAAGAAGCAGCAGAAATTCATAAGAAATATTCATTGGCATGCTATCCAATAGGAAAGGGTACATTCATGTGTAAGCCTCTTAGTTGTCCTCCAGTTCTAATGGCAATAAAAATATGATAAATGACTCATTAAATAACTGTCTTTAATATACCATAAGCCAGTATTTTATCACGTGTGGTCCGTATGTACCAGGTGGCCAAGATGATGAGATTGCCCCACTTTCTGAAATAAAAAGGCATCATAGCTAGAAAAGAACTCTTATTTAGAATTTATTTTTTGATTTTTGAAAATGTTTGAGTTAAAACCTGCAGATGAGATCCCAGATAACTTGTTTTCTTTAGCAAAACAGTTTAACTGTGCTTTAAAACTACTGAGAAGACATACAGATTAAACAAATGTAATTTTTTCTTCTAAACTTGCCATATATCAGAGCATCTGCATGTTTCTCTAAATGGAATGAAGTTTCTAGCAGGGTTGAGTAAGTTCTCTTCTATATCAGTCTTATTTTAAAAGCCAGTAAATAAAGTTTTCACTTAATATGGTTGTGTTGCTTAAAATAACATCTAGACACTGCAATCTCTCCAAGTAAGGATATGTTTATCTGAGGAACATGCACTTCCACACAATATCAGCCAGTCCTCTTAGGGATGTTTCTAGATGAACTCCCTTCTGCCTGCCTGGATGGTTTTCCCCTTCAAACTATGTGCAAAATTTTTCATTAGTGGTTCAATAACAGTGTCAAATCATTGATGCATACGCCATCCACCAATGCATACCGACAAGTTAATTTCAAATATTACAATAAATTGTGGAGAAAGCGTTTTGATGTCTTCATGTCTCAGAAAATAGCAGAGGGCACAGGTATGTCAAAAATAAGTGAACTGGTGAGTAATAAGGATTTCTGGGTAGAGATCTTCCTTAGCACCACATTAAAGAAAGGAGACCTGAAGATAACTGTCCTATATCACCAAGATGTTTAAGGCAGGAAGATATAGCAGGGTAAGAGTGCTTTCACTGATCTCTTATATATCATCTTTCATGGGCAAAGGACAACTTTGCTAAGAAGGTAGTTTAACAGGAGTACTACATGAAAAAAATACCCCTTACTCAGCAACTTTATATAACACAGATTGAAGCAGACAGCAATGTACAGTGCTGAATAGACTGGCATTTTCATTCTTTGTCATTTTTGAACTGTAAAACAAATAGTTACAGTGAAATATGTGTACTTGTGCATAAGTGATTATCTAAGAAACACCATTCATTTTCAGTAATAGCTACCTGTGGAATTTGGACTACTTAGCATTAACCACTGTAATTGAGTGTGGTTCCTTCACACCTTCGTGTTTACAGCCCAAGATACAAGGGTGCAGAGCTGCCAGAACTTTACACTTTCCTTCACTGCTTCAAGTTTGTTCATACTTACACCCTACAAAGGCAGGGTTCTAAAAGGGAGTCAAGTGCACAAATATCTTTAAAACACTCCACTGACTGTGGAAAAATTGTTTCCAAGGTGGGGATTTTTTTTTCTGTCTGCAGATGCTAGTCCATCTATTTGTTTCACCCATGAAAGCTTACTGACAAATCTCATCAGAACTCCAGAAGATTTTTCACATGTGAAATTCTCTCTGTGAATTTTTTATCATCTCAGTCTTACAATATATTTAAAGACGTTACAGGCTGGAGTATAACATTAAAAAAGTATACTATATGTCTGTGGTATCTACATGCGAACAACATACATATGTGGATATCTGACCCCTAAAAAGTACTTGCAAAAGAGTACTTACATGAAATGAGCTCATTGTCAGCTGAATGAAAAGTCTGATATGTCTTGAAAGTCCTTGCACCTGTTCATCAGTGATGAAGGTAAATATAAATTCATGAATCCCCAACAATGGAATCAGAACAAGTGTAGATCTTGCCAATCTTAAAAAGAAAATGTTTGATTATGGTATTATTCAACATCCTTTGTAAAAGGTTAAAATTGATCTACAAAGAAAATATTCCAGAAATTATTTTTCTGCTAACCAGGGAAATGAGCAAATGTGATGCCCATCTACAAAATGGCAAGAAGGAGGATTTGGGGTATTACAGGCCTGTCAGTCTGACTTTGGTGTAAAGGAAGGTGATAGAGCAGGTCATCTTGAATGTCATCACACAATACATACAGGACCACCAGGATATCAGACCCAGTCAGCATGGGTTTATGAAAGGCAGGTCCTGCCTCACTAACCTGAACAACAATACAAGGGAAAGGCTGTGGATGTTGTATATTTGGACTTTAGCAATGCATTTGGTACTGTTTCCCATATCTTTCTCTTGGAGAAACTGGCTGCTCATGGGTTGAATGGATGTACTGTCTGCTGGGTATAAAACTGGCTGTATGTTCAGTTTTGTTTAACATTTTAAGCAGTGATCTTGATGAGAAGATCAAGTGCACCCTCAGTAAGTCTGCAGATGACACCATGTTGTGTGAGAGCGTTGATCTGCTTGAGGCTAAGAAGGATCTTCAGAGGGATATGCATAGCCTACACTGATGAGCTGCATCCAATTTCATGACTTTCAACCAAACAGTATAGATGTGGGAACAACTGGCTGGAAAAGTGCCCAGCAGAAAAGGACCTGGAGTGTTAGTCATAGAATCACAGAATCATAAAATATTTTGGGAGGTGCTCCATCTCTTTGATCATCCTTGTGACTCTCCCCTGGACTCATTCTAATACGTACATATTCTTCATGTGCTGGGGGTCCCAGAGCTGAATGCAGTGGTCCAGGTGGGGTCTCGAGAGCAGAGCAGAAGGGGAGAATAATTTCCCTTGCCCTGCTGGCCATGCTTATTTTGAAAGCAGCGCAGGATACAGTTGGTTTTCTGGGCTGCAATTGCACACACTGCTGGCTTATGTTGAGCTTCTCGTCAACCAACACCCTCAAGTCCTTCTCCTCGTAGCTGTTCTCAATTCATTCTCCACCCAGCCTGTATTTGTGCTTGGGATTGCCTTGGCCCAGATCCAGGACCTTGCACTTGGCCTTATTGAACCTCATTAAGTTCATACAGGCCCACCTCTCATGTCTGTCAAGGTCTCTCTGGATGCCATCCCTTTCCTCCAACATGTTGACTGCACCACACAGGTTGGTGTCATTGGCAAACTTGCTGAGGGTGCACTTACCCCACTGTCCATGTCACCTACAAAGATGTTATAGCTGGTCCCCCAATACTGACCTCTGAGGAACACCACTATTCATTACTGATCTCCGCCTGGACATTGTGCCAGTTACCACAACACTTTGAGTGCAATCATCCAGCCAATTCCTTACCCACTAAGTGGTCCATCCGTCAATTCCATGTCTCTCTAATTTAGAGACAAGAATTTCATGTGGGTCAGTGTCAAATGCTTTGCACAAGTCCAGGTAGATGATGTCAGTTGCTCTTTCAGATAGGTCCACCAATGCTTTAGCGCCCTACTAGAAGGCTATCAGATTTGGCAGACACGACTTGCCCTTTCTGAAGCTATGCTGGATGTCACCAATCACCTCCCTATTTTCCATGTGCCTTAGCATAGTTTCCAGGAGTAAACTAGGTCAACAGCCAATACGTGATCTTGAGCCAGTAGTGTGCCCAAGTGGACAAGGAGGCCAATGCCATTCTGGCCTGCCCCAGAAATAGTGTGGCCAGCAGGACTAGGGAAGCGATTGTCCCTCAGTACTCAGCACTGATGGGAGGGAATATGGAATATGGAAATAGGTTCCTTGTTGAGGATTTAATATTGGAATTTTCTAGGAACTTAATACTGGAATGGCCACCCACTCTCCCCCCATCCAGTTCACAGAATCACAGAATTGTAAGGGTTGAATGGGACCTCCAGATATCATTGGGTCCAACCCTCCTGCCAATGCAGGTTCTTTAGAGCAGGTTGCACAGATAAGCGTCCAGATGGGTCTTGAATACCTCCAGAGAAGGAGTCTCCTCAACCTTCCCAGGCAGCCTGTTCCAGTGTTCTGTCACACTCACTGTGAAGAAGGTCCTTTGCATATTGGTGTGGAACTTCCTGTGCTCCATTTTGTGGCCATTGCCCCTTGTCCTGTCTCCACAGACCACTAAAAAGAGGTTGGCCATATCCCTTAAAAAGGTTGGCCATATCCCCTAAGTTGCATTAGACAATAAAATACTTCATATAAGTAAGGTAGGACTGTAGTAGGAGACAGAGCTTCACAAAGCTGTTAAATGATACTAAGAACTGAAAAGAGATTAAATACGTAAAACAGCATATCCTCTGGTTTCCATTTGTTTAATTGCAGTTTTCATATTACATGTGATTTCCTGGCTTGACCTTGCAGCTCCCTTGTCCTTCACTATGGACTTGTCTGATGACCACTGGACAACTGACTATCTTGACTACTTTCATTGGACCTGCCCTGATCATTATAGTACTGTGAGTCTACACCCCTTGTCAATTAGATCACTGTCCCTGCCTGCCTTGCTGTTGTCCTTTGCTTCTGGCTCACCTGCTCTTGCAGAGCAGCCTGTCCTTGATGTTCCCATAAAGTGGGAACATGTTCATGCAGAGGTCAGTTCTAGGACTTCATGTAAGACATGCTGTACCATTGAGACTCTGGCTAGGAAACAACACAGGAAGGCTAGCAAGAGTGCAGACTAAGGCTAGCTTTCTCATCTGGATGTACAAGAAGAAGAGGGATATTCTTCAATCAATGGTGTCTGTGTCTGTGAAAAAGACGTAAATGCTAGTGTCACCTAGGAATTTCCCACAAATCTGCTGAACCTCCTTTTCTTTTGAGGGCCCTTTGTCACAATCAAGGAAAATAAAAGCGTCACAGCAGTTAAGACTATCTTCGTATAGTCTAGTTACATGAGTGCAGAAGTCTTATGGCATTGCAAACTCCTTGAGAAAATACCCATAATGCTCAGCACACAGGCAATAACTTATCCTCCTTACTCAGGTGAGAAACTATTTGTGGAACCTGTTTCCCTATTTGGCTTTCATATGTCAAATTCTGAATACCTTTTACATTGGTGGTGGTAGGTAAATGTGTAGTTTGCAAGTTCACATTGGGAATATTCTGATGCATTAAAGAAAAAAAAAAAAAAAAGACTAGGATTTCTTCGTGTTTATTACATACCTGTATTTGTAGTCATGAAAGCTCATCTGCTGGGCTTTCAGTTTGGAAATCAGCATCCTTAGAATTTTTAAGAAGATGCCAAAATTAACCTTGAAAGAAAATATATATTAGTTGTTTACACAAGATTTGATGTCATTATTCATATAGCTATAAAAGAGTCATAAAATTGGCATTAAATATTTGTAAAACCTGATGTTAAATAACCAGAATGCAACTGTGTTCAGGTCAGAACAGAAGCAGGTTATTAGTACAGCCATGGGAGAGAGCACAGAGCAGTAGTGACAGGCTATGCTGGTAGGCTGTGCTCTCTCCCAGTGAGACACTTACAGCATTAATGTACCTTTAAGTTATAAAACTTTTCACCAAAATTAGTCAGATAGGCAGGATGTGGTTGAACAACAGCAGCACTTGGAATTCTCTAGATAAGTACTTTCTAGTCAACCAGATAAGGAAGCTCTGGGCAGTGCATCCATTTACAAATAACTCAATGTTAATAAAATTGTTCTGACTTGACTGAGACTAACCTGACAATATTTTCCATCTAGTGTGGCCTGCAAAGGCCTTTACAGCATTAACTATTTTACTTCCACAAACAAAAAGCCCTATACAAAAAGATATTCAAGTTGTGCAGTTAGGAAATTTAACATTGCCTTATTTCAGCCTGATTTACATGTACGTTATGATATGTGATCTTCCATTACAAAATTATGTTTTAATTTTAACATGGAATGGTGTTTCCCAATTTGGTCAATGGACAGTTAATCAGGACTACTTTTCTTGTCTTCATTTGTTGTATAGTCCTGTTATTGTCCTGTATAAAAAATCATACACTTTTCATACTGTTCTCTATAAATGTGCACAGATAGATCTTTAAAATATCAAAGGGCGATAAGGAGATATTATTCTCTTTAAAACAGACACCTGAAAATGGAAACATAAATAGATGGAGTTCCAAAGTGTAAGATCTCAGTAATTCAAGTTGGTTTGGTTTGATTTTTTTCAGAGGAAAAAGAGTCATCATTATGTCACAGGGGCATAATGAGGTTCTCACCAGTCCACCTCTCATGTCTGTCAAGAGCCCTCTGGATGCCGTCCTTTCCCTCCAGCATGTTGATTGCACCACACAGCTTGGTGTCATTGGCAAACTTTTCAGTTCCTCAGTTCTTTGCACTGATTTACAGCAGCAAAGATTATGCCCTACCATGTCACTAGATAACAGGAAATCATGCAGAAATATCTTTATTAAAAGGTGTTTTTAAACTACTGATACTCTCCATCCAAGTGCTATTCTTCAAATTATTTATGAATTCATTCCTAACTCTTAGATCTGATTAGTTTCATGTTATTCAGGGAACGTGCTCTGGGTTGAGCACACTAACATCAATGAGTGTAACATTCTTACAACAAAAGTAAAACTCTTGGATCTCTTCAATATAATAGAAATTCTAGTATTTGTTTTTGCTTGTTATGTTCCACTAGCTGTTTATTTTCTACCCAAGCTCCAAAAATGTAAATTGGCAATCCAGTCTTCCTTTAGAATTAGACATATCCAGGAAGAAATTGGTTCAGATCCCCTCAGTTTTGGACTTTGTCTGTCTTGAACTCTCACTCGGTTTTGGGACAGTTTCAGTCTTGAACACTTTCCGCTTGTGTCTCTTCTCAACAATCAGGCCTCTTCCCTTTCTTTTCTGGCTCTTCTCTCCACTGTCTTTTTGAGACAGACAGGCAGACAGAGATAAAGAGCTCCATTGCCCTTCAAGTTATTTACTTTTCGTTGACTGCTTATTAAATGTGTTTCTCTGCTTCACAACTATGTCCACTTTCTCTCTCCTATGGCTTTCTCCAACTCGGCAGCAGCAAAACAGTCCATTGTTTCTTTGCAAAAGTAATAATTTCTACAGCTTTTCTCCATTGTAACAGAAAACAATGTTCTTTCCACATGCATCAGTGCCTCAGTATTGCACTTTGAGCAATCCTTGCATAAGTAAAGAACATCTCTTCTGTACATTTGCTATCTCAGAAAGATTAACAATATGCTAAACTAATCACCTATTCCTCTAATCCTTTTATGCCTTGCTGGCTTTGTAAAAATATAAGATAATTATGGATAGACACCATAGCCCTGCCTATCAAAAATGTGTGCTCACAATTATGTCCTCATGAATTGTTCTGTTCATGCTTTTTTCATCTCTTCATTATCACCCAATTTCAGGTTTAGTGTTCTGTGCAATTTTATTATTATTTTAAACTGTACCTTAGTCTTATCAAGCCATGCTCCAGTTTATTCCATTCTTCTGATGCCTGATAAGAGCTTTCTCTCCATGACCATTTTTATTTTCTGTTGCTAGTTCTCTCTGTCCTTGTTATCACATGAACTTACTCTGTAGATTCTCACCACATTGTAGGACTCTCCAAAGTCAGCTGCTCACTGCATGAAGTTAGGCTAAAATTATGAGCAGCAAAAGGCTTTGTGTTTGTGCAGAACTGTGCAGAATTCACTGCATAGATACACAGCAGTGTTTTGAGAGACTATTACTGAAATTCTTGTTGCTTACAGATAGACAAAGTGAAGCTATGTCTAGCCCCACAAAGTAAGAGATCTCATCTACAGTCTTTTCTATCTCATGTCCTCCAGTCCAAGGATTGGATTACACTGGGAGAAAACATCACAAAAACCGTATTTGTGTATGATATTGGAAAAGATAAAATAATTCTTACTGTAATGGAAAACAACATAGGTCCTCGGATGATCCACCAGATTCCCATGTGCTCATTTGTTCCCCAGCACCTGCAGAATAATTTGAACGATAATTACATTATTTTCATAGAAATAAATTAGAAAGCTGAAATAACGTATGTATATATTTCAAAGGGAATTTGACAAATTTTATTTTTTTTAGGTGACATTCAGGAGAAATTGAATTAAAATAGGCAAAGTCTCACCAACAACTGCTATGTTTTCTGAAAATCTTTCCATTAGGATCTTGAGAGAAGTTTCCATAGGTTGTGTACTTGGCAAACTCTTGTCCCTCTCTAATATGCCCTTGTAAGACTTCACTGGGAGTACTGCTTCCAGGTCTGGGGACCCCAGCACAAGAAAGATGTGAGTCTGATAGAGAAGAGCCATGAAGATGATCTGAGGGCTGGAGTACCTATTCTATGAAGAAAGGCTGAAAGAGCTCGGGTAGTTGAGCCTGGAGAAGAGAAGGCTCCATGGTGACCATATTGAAGCTTTTCAATACTTAAAGGGGTCTTATAAAAAAGATGTAGGGTGGGTTTTTTTGTTTGGTTGGTTTTTGTCTTTACATGGGCAGGTACTGATAGGACAAGGGAGAACAGATTAAACTGAAAGTGGGGAGATTTAAAGTAGATGTTAGGAGGAAATTCTTTACTATGAGAGTGGTGAGACACTGGAACAAGTTGCCCAGAGAAGTTGTGGATGTCCCATTCTTGGAGGTGTTTGAGACTAGTTTGGATGAGGCCCTGGGCAACCTGATGTTGTGGGTGGCATCCCTGACCACGGCAGGGGGTTGGAACTAGATGGTCATTAAGATCCCTTCCAACCCAGGGTATTCTATGATTCTTTGGATCCCCACAACAACTTTATGTGGCACTGAACCTTTGTAGTGGGATAAATCTTACTGAAATTTAGTCATCTAAATCCATAAACTGGAAAAGGATAAGCTGCAAACTGTGACTGTTTTTTGACTAACTAAAAAGTATGCATCCTGTCTCTGTGAATGAAATGAAATGGAATGGTTCAGCTGGAAAGGATCTAGAAAGACCATTAAGACCAACTGCCTGCCTAACTGAAAGATAAATTATATTAATTACAGTATCACAGAATCACAGAATTTCTAGGTTGGAAGAGACCTCAAGATCATTAAGTCCAACCTCTAACCTAACACTAACAGTCCCCACTAAACCATATCCCTAAGCTCTACATCTAAACATCTTTTAAAGACTTCCAGGGATAAGGTAATTTTCCAAATGACTCTTGAACACTGACAGGCATGGGGCATCAACTATCTCACTAGGAAATCAGTGTTTGGCCACCCTCAGAGTAAAGAATTTTTCCTTTATATCTGGTGTGAACTTTAGTGACCAGCGGTAGAACCCAAGGGGATGGTGTCAAGCTGCCACAGGGGAGGGTCAGGCTGGACATCAGGAAGAGGTTCTTCACTGTGAGGGTGGTTGCACGCTGGAACAGGCTCCCATGAACTTTCCCTGGCACTACTTTGTACAATTCCCACACATCATGTCATCAGTTGCCAGGTAGGAGAGACCAGCACCTCCATCCCTGCTTCTTCTCCTCTGGTAGCTGTGGAGAGCAAAGTGGTCACCTCTTGGCTTTCTCTTTTCCAGATTAGATAACACAGGTGCCCTCAGCTTTTCCTCATATGACATGCCTTCCAGTCCAGCTTTGTTGCTCTATTCTGGACACTTTCAAAGACCTTAATATTCTTTTAATATTTTGGAGGCCAGAACAACATGGAATATTCAAGTTGAGTCCACACAAATTCTAAATATAGCTGGAGAATCACCTCTTTTACTGGCTGGCCATGCTGTATTTAATGCACCCCAAAATGCAGTTTGCCCTCTTGGCTGCCAGGGCACACTACTACTGGCTCATGTGGAACCTCCTGTTGACCAAAACCCCCCAGATCCCTTCCTGCTGGGCCATTCTAGAGCCACTCATCTCCCAGTCTGTTTCTGTGTCTGGCCTTACACTGTCCCACGTACAGAACACTACACTTTTTTTATTGAGTTTCAAGCCTTTCCTAATCACCCACTGCTCCAATCTAACTAGACCCCTCTTCATGCTCTTGTCCCTCCTGGGAGTTTTTGAGTTTTTGATGATATTGAACCTCCCAGTTCAATACTGCTGAGGATGCATTACAATCCTGCATCCATATTACTGGTAAAAATGATGAACAGAACTGACCCTGAAACTGGGTCATTCACTAACTTTCTGTCAGCAGGAAAATGTCTTCTTTTCTCCTGATTCAACCTTCTAATTTTTCATATGAAAATGTTCTTTCTTGCTAATTAGCTTGTAACCCTGTGGGACTATGGTCTATGTAACATGTAACGCTATGAGAGGGCAAATTTGATTCAGCTCCTGATTGTTGCTTAATAACTATACTGATATTTCAAACAAAACTCTCTAGGATCCACAAATAAAATAGGGAAATGAAACAAAGAAAATCATATATGAAAGACAAAGTCTATGTGACGCCATTAACAGCAATGCTGAAAACCATAAGACTGGAAAACTGATGCCTACTGGTGCAGGTTACTCTTACTATTTAATTCACTGAATATTCACAGAATCACAGAATTTCTAGGTTGGAAGAGACCTCAAGATCATCGAGTCCAACCTCTGACCTAACTCTAACAGTCCCCACTAAACCATATCCCTAAGCTCTATATTGAATACATTCATCTAATAACAGCTTTTTGTGAATATCATTTTTGTCATTTTCTGTTATGACTGTTTTTTTTTTTTTCTTCCAAAATGATAGCAGTGAATGTTAATTAAACTCAAACCACAGATGGTCTCCAATGAAAGCACTGGTCTTCATTTCTTGCTAACAAGATACTCTCAGTGAAGATGTTTGTGTTGAAATTTTGCTTCATGTAATTTCCATGTTCGTATTCATGAACAGTGAATAAAGTAGTTTGCATTTGAGACACAGTGAACGTTCATTTTCTTTCTCGATTTATGCATGTGAACCCATGAACTCCTACTAGTTTACTGTGAAAGGATTAAAATGAACCTAGAAAATCTAACAAGTATTAATATGTGTAGTATAATCTTAATATAACCCATATAATCCAGTTGTCAACACCAGTGTCAATTACGGTCAAAGGTTTCCAGAATAAATAAATAAATAAATAAATAAATAAATAAATAAATAAATAAAAGCAACTGAAAACCTGTATTCTAAGACATTTTTCCTTTAGTAACCTACCCCGTGTTCTCCAATTTTGATCTGCTTATTCCCCACGGGCCCACAAACAGAATAGGAACAACTGGAAAGAAAAGGAGTTGATTACAGCCAAGCTTACAGAATGATTCATATAAAATAAAGATACACTACAACTGTGTGTGGTGCAAAGACATGTGGTTTTCAGTACTCCATTTAGATGTTGTACAAAAATCAACCTGTTCTTGTATTTCCCCATTTGTAGCTTAAAGACAATAAGAAATTTCATTCTACAGTTGAATATCCTGTTTTCAGTATAGAAATTGTCACCACTGGAATATATATATACACACAAAGATACACGGCTACATACACTCCTGACTAGTCTTAATCTTCTAAGTCCCTGGCCATGAGATTTCAGAAGAATTGGCACTTGAGGCATCACAGACTACCTAAAGTACTGGTTATTAACATTTTCATTTGTTGAACCTTAAACAATTTTCAGTGGAGACATAGAATTCTATCTGGTTAGTTAACACAACTAACAAAAGCTTGTTTTTCTGACTTACCTTTCATGGACACCTTAAAGTTAATCTATGGTCCCTGTCCCCCTATTGTTGCCCCCCTCTTGGAGATCATAGACCATAGAGTGAAAAAAAATATTGAATTAAGTATTACTACACTGTTCCAGTGGCCTATAAATGTGCAAGTACAAACTTCAAGCACAAGACAATGTGAACTACAAAAGGCATCTATTCAGCTGGATTCTCAGCTCAACAACACAGGACTGATTATCTGGTGGAATGAAGAGGAGATATGAGTCAGAACAAGGACTATTCATGAGTCTGGGAATGCTAGCTAAGGCTGTGAGGAGAGCTGGAATGGAGGGAGCAGTGTGTAGAAAGGGTTGGATACAAAATACTCTCAGAGGTAATACTCTGTACTGGTGAGGCCATACTTGGAGTACTGTGTCCAGTGCTGAGCACCCCAGTGCAAGAGAGACACGAAAATAGTAGTAAGAGTGCTCTGAAGGGTCACAAAGATGCTGAAGGGACTGGAGGAAAGGCAGAAAGAGGTGGGATTGTTCAGTCTGGAGAAGAAAAGGCTTGGAGGGGAGGTCTTATAAGTCTGTAAGACCTGAAGGGAGAGTACAGAGAGGATGGGGACAGGCTATTTTCAATGGCGCCCAGTGACAGGACTAGAGCAATAGGCACAAACTGAAAATCTGGAGGCTCCATCTAAACATCAGGAACGCTTACTGACTTTGATGGTGACAAAGCAGTGGCATGGGTTGCCCAGAGAAGCTGAAGAGTGTCCCACCTTGGAGTTATTCAAAATCTGTCATGGGCATGCTCTTGGACAACAGGCTCTAGGTCTCCCTGCTTGAGCCAGGGAGGTTGGACCATATGACCTCCAGAGGACCCTTCTTGCCTCAGCCAGTCCATGTTTTTGTGAAAATAGACCTCTGCATGGCTAATATGGGGAAGGAGATAGAAACCATCTCACTTGGATGTAAGTTTATTTTGTTGTAGAAGGTAGATCTGAGAGAACAATCAAGGCATGGACTACTTGGGAAGGGAGATGACATGTACAGGGGAATATGGAGTTTTCCAGTGGGGAAAGATGATACCAGGGAGGATGAGTGGACATTATCAAGTGCAGTTCCTGGGGATTAGCTGAGGAGGTGTGTGTAGCTGCAAGTGTAAGCATGCTGCTGGCTCAGCAGCAGCAGCAGTACCACAAATGTTTGTAAGAAGTGAAGGACCAGATCTCCTGTCTTAGGAGTAATTCTAATAAATATAAATAGGAAACAGCAAAATAGTGGAAAAAAGCCATTATGAAATCAGTGATGATGACATGGGAATGAGAACAATTGAGGGGAACTTACAAATAGATAATTCTTATACTCTTACATTGGTAATCAGATTTCTTAACAGACCTGTCCTATTGCAGTTGTTCAAGTAACAAAACCTGCCAGTGAGCTGGTGATCAGTGCAATGGCATTCAGAGAGGTGGAAAGAAAGAGGCAGCAATGAGAGAACACTAATCAGCATGAAAGACAGTGGTCTTGGTGTGCCAGAACCATAAACTTTAAAAGCTATCATAGCACAGGGATCTTTAAAGAGGAATGTAAGACAGAACAGAGAAATCAAGTAATTAATGGTGAGAATGAACCTCAAAAGTATAAAGTACAGTAAAGGAGACAGCCCAGAAGTTATATACCAGTGGACATTGAAGAGTGGTGTTATCGTTTGACAGAAAATTTTTATAGATAAAGAAGGATGGGAACAAGCATGAAAAAGAAGGGAAGTAGTTAATTTCTGAAGAGGAATAAGTAAAAGAGGAAAAGGAAAGATGCCAAAAACTGGATAGCATGTTAAAAATTTCAACCCTGAAAAATAATCTTCATAGCAGCATTCTGGATGGATACAAGTAAGGCCAGAGAAAAGGGTTCTTTAGGAAATACAAGTTCTTATTTGACTATATCTAGAGTTACGCACATGAAAAGATTAAGAGAATATTCTACTTCTCTTAAGCATTAAAATTCACTTTTTAAAGGTACTTCTCTTTTCCTTTTAATTCTAGGAAGAGTCTAGATATTAGTTACCTAAGTTTAACTTCATAAAATAAAATGAATCTCACTCTGTATAAGGTAGACTAAATTTGAAGATTTAAATTCTACCTGATTTTAAGAACTCACAGGAACTCTTAAGTGAAACAGTACTTAGAGCATGGGCCTCAAAAAACAAAGCAAAAATCATACTGGGGGACCAGAGGAGCAACAGAGTTTGGGAGATGGTACAGGAATAGAAAAAAAAAATAAATAAAAAAATAGAATTCTGCTTTAATCATATAGAGCTGGGCTTCATGGTTAGATAATAAGGAAAGACTTGTTTATTTATTTTTAATATTAACTACTTGATTTCCCTGTAAAGGGAAACACAAGGAAATTGGTTGAGAGTATTTGGCACTCCTCATTGATTATGGAGAGAAGATGGCAGGAATCTTTTTTATCTGCTTTATTGTTATGATCATTTACCCTCAGAAACTAGACTTTTTCTGGAGCAAGACCAATTTTCTGAGACAATTCTAATCAGCACATTTCCATCCAAATACCAAAATGCAGGTCTTTAATATTCCTGTTTCTGTTTTCTATGTGCCCTATGAACTCTCGAAAAAGCATGCACAGAGATGTCTCTGTATGTACCTAGGTTTTATCACCAAATCTGAGCTGTAATATGTTGGAATATTTGTACATATCCATCTCAGATCAAATGTGTGAGTGAATTTGTTACAGAAGGATTGCTTATGTGAAATTTCACATCTGCCTTGGGACCTGGAAAAACTGCATTTGAGTATCTAGCATTTACTTTGAGGCACTGTGTTCCAAATGATTGATGAGTAAATAATCAGTACAGTAAATAATAATAATAATCTTCATCATAAGTATTAACTACCTATTTCCAACAAGTTTTTAATCGTGTTAATCTAATGAAGTTAAACACATTTATATTGAAGAGTATAATAATATTTCTCTTTCAGAGGTGGAAAAAGAAAAGGAAAAAAAAAAGTTTCTTCCAAGTATGTAATAAAACTTGCATTTCCCCATTGCACATTTTTCCTGAATTGAAAGCAGTGATTTTTGTTAAAGCTTCTTTCTGATCTGACATCAAAATGTCAGGATATGTTACACAGTGAGATAATTTTGAATTAAATTGAATAAAATAATTTTGAGTTAATCGAAACACTGCACCCACTTCTGTCTAATGCTTGTTCTGTACTCTCATCACTAACCACATTATTAGCTCATTGTTTTGTTGATTAGCAAAGAACGCTAATCAACAGGGTGTCAGAACTCCTCAGTTTCTCAGGAACCTAAGCCGGAATAACCTGTTTTTCTAGTTTATGGTTATAGTTTAGTGGTTTTTTTTTTTTTTTGTGTGTGTGTGTGTGTTTTGGTTTTAAAACTGCAAACAAGAAGAAAAGAATATAGATATTCTCACTGTTAACAAAAGAAAAAAAAATGACACAACAAACAAGGTCAACAGTAAGTTTTGCATTCACATCATGGAACTAACTGATTTAATACTCCAGAATAAAATGTGTCATTGCCAAAATCACTAGGTCTGACTACAATTTTGGTGATTTCTGATAGCAATATATCACAATGCACATTATATTAATATTTTCAGAACAATGCATATGATACCATATCATGAGCATCCAAAACCTGTTTCAAATTTTTTAAGACACAGATATCATATACCTTTTAACCATGTCAGTGTTAGGAAGATTTAGGAAGTGTCAGTGTTAGGAAGAAAAGGAAGATTTTTCTGTAAAGGAGTTAAGGTTTCTGGGTTCTTTCATGCATCAATATTCTTTCTGACTAGACAGCGTTGCCCCAAATCAATTTACCACACTTACTTCAACAAGCTTTTAAATTACATTTTTGAATTATTATTTTTTTTTTTTAGATTTCCTGTGTGGTATATTTGATGCTGAAGCCCTGTTTCAGATCTTTCTCAAAGTGTTGGTATTTTCTACAGCAATTGTTCTCATTTAATAAATGCAGTTTATTTAATAAATACAGCTATAAAGGTATGAAGAATGACCTTACCTAAAATGCACTTAATTCTAATAATTTCTTCCAGTGGTCCATTTGGTTTAGATCCTATCCAATTAAAATCTCAGAGTTCTCGGTGAAAGAACTTTGTACAACTTTAAGACAGCTAGAACATGAACTATTGTCAAATTGACAAGGAATTTTTTACAGTCTTAGTAACAATCAACAAAAAAATATTTTAAACATGTAGATGTTTCTTCATTCCAACTGTAATCAGTGTAACTTTAGTCTTAGCTGACATTTGCTTCATTTATTTTTGAGTTTAAACATATCTTTAAAATTTTCCTCTTTATCCTGGGTTGATAATTTTAGCATGCAGAACAGCAGAGCAAATATGGAATAATTTATTTATAACTATGTAATCATCCACCATAGTCTAATCACTTTTTCTTTTTAACTTTTTTTTTTTTTTTTTGTAATACATTTTTAGAAAATATAAGAGTATTGGTGAACAAGCTTGTAAAATTATACATTGATAAAATTTATATGGTCAGAAGCTATTCATATGGCATTTCATCCTATCATCCTCCTCAAGTCAGGCCACTGAATATGAATCAATAACTCTTGCACCAAACCCAAGTATTGTCTAAAAGTACATTTTTTATCTTCTTTTAAAGCCTTACAAGACTTGCAAGTTGTACAGGTAGATCTTAGATGACAATTGGGAATTAGGAAGCCTTGACTTTCCCCTTTGTCCATGCAAATAATTTTGTCCGTTATTATGTTCTCTGAGTGAGCAACAAATACAACTGTCAGATTACACACACCTCTCATACAAAAAGAAAAAGAGTACAATTTACACAAAATTGTTCAAATGTTTCTAACTAACTTTACATTGTCTTTATTCCATTAAAATATGCCTGAAATATAGGACCCATATCATATAGAGTTTCACACTGTCCTCTGATTTAAAGCATACTTCAGAAGTTGAAGAACTTGTTGAGATAACAAGGTAAATATATAAAAGCCAATTGCTTAATGTACAGACGTCTTCACCATGTAGGTGCTCTATTACAAAGGAAGAAAGTGAAGGTGCTGATAGTGCTTTAATATTCAGCAATGACAGAAAAAATGGTCAAATATAGTAAAAATTTATTCTCATTCTGTTTATTAAGCTATTTTATCTTATAAAACATTTAACCCGTTTTCTGTACCTGCAGATCAAACCTGCAGCTAGTGTATCAGTTCTAATATACTTTTATTAACAATTGCTGACTTCAAAACAACAAAAGTCATTTTTTTTTTCTCTCTTCATTACAAAATATCCACCAATGACTTACAAAAAATGCCACAGAATCAAGAACTTTGAAATTGTTAGGTACTTACCCCATCCTATCACAATATATGTCTGTAGCAGTCGCCTTTCGGAGAGTACAGCAGTAATCAATAATGTATGGAGATAAGTTCCTTCTACCAATAGCCAAAAATAATTTGCCCCAGCAAAGTAATGCATGAAAAACTGGGCAGTCCTGCAAATTATTAAAATCTGTAGGAATGAAAGACCAGTCATCATTGTAATGTATAAAAACTCTGACAAATCCTGTTTTATTTGTTAGTTTAGCAACCATTTTAAAACCAGCATGTGGTTTTGGTACATATGTAGTTCAGTCAGATATCTTTCAAGATACTGAGCTGCTGTTATTTTGGGAGATCTGGGCTTTCTGAGAGTAAAGAACCTGTAATACAGTTAGACTGTGTATGGCTCTTTGGAGGAAAAAGGAGCTGAAGGCAGAGCGGCTCCTGTTCATGCCAGGGGTTGACACTAAGAGCAAGGGGAAGAACTGAGGAGTATTCATTTCATGAATTATACTCTGTAGAAAAGTGTTGCTAGTACACAAGCAGGTCAGGAGAAAATGACACTACACTGGCTGTTGTGTTCAATACTTACTCTGATTAATTTCTGGTTACAATTTCAAATTCATTGTGATCTACAGCTTCCTTATGAGGGGAAGCAGAGGGGAGGTGTTGATCTCTTCTCTCTGGTGACCAGTGATCCCTCTGGTGACCTTGGGTCCTGAGACCCAAGGGAGCAGCATGGAGCTGTATCAGGGCAGGTTCAGGTTGGATATTAGGAAAAGGTTCTTCATTGAGAGGGTGGTCAGACACTGACACAGGCTCCCCAGGAAAGTGGTCATGGCACCAAACCTGCTGAAGTTCAAGAAGGATTTGGACAACACTCTTAGACATACGGTCTGATTTTTGAGTGGTCCTTTGTGGATCCAGGAGTTGGACTAGATGATCCTTGTGGGTCCTTTCCAGCTCAAGATACTGTATGATTATATGATTCATCCGAACATATTCCAAACTTATGTACCAATAACCAGAAAGTACTTACTGAATTAATCTGAGATTAATCAAGCTGCATTCAGTACTTTTAAGAGGAAATGAGGAGAAACAAGACTTGTAGTACTTCTGAAACTCTGTGTGTTACTTGAGAGAGGTTGGAAGGGAGTGTAACAGTTTGACGGTTTCTATATTGGATGGCCACAAAGTTTGAGAAGAGCTGATAATTGAGATAGGATATTGACAGTGTACGCTGTGGTATGTGCTCTTTGTCATGACCTGCATATCATACGTGTAAGTTTTACTGATGAGCTATTAAGTCAATTGTCCCCAAGCAGAAGTCCTGTGCTAGGAAGTGATAAACATCTTACAGGTAATTTAGCTTGCTAACTATATATGGGCAAACTATATAGATACATCATAAAAGTATAATATATCCACAGTGGTGGCAATGAAAGACATTGTTATTCCATTATGTATAGAAGTATAAGAAAATTAGAATATTTTCCTACTCCGGAAAGCCTTTAAAGTACATTTTCCTCTTACTTTCAATGCAAATACATAGTTTGATAACATTGCTCACAAGTAAGATTTGTGTGCATTGCATTGTGCTATGCATATCTAGAGCAAATAAATATAATGTGAAAGTGCAAAATAAATGTATAGATTTCCTCCTAAAACTACAGATGTAATAAAATTGTTTTGCTTATGTAGGTTTCTAAATATATATATTTATTCTTTTTTTAATTATTATTTTCTATACAAACCTTTATAATAAAATCAATATTTTATAATTTATCAAAACAGGTGTTTTTTTCAGATTACCCCAAGCTTTATCACTAAAGTTTTAGCATTTGAATATCAACTAACAAATACCTGAAATGTTGATGCCACATGGCAAACTTCTGAAACCATAACTGTTATGTCTACTGACAGCACACATTCACTATTAGCAATGAACTAAAAAGTTACCTCAGGACTGAGGTATAATATCCATCCAGTTTCATCATTTGGTCTTTTGGAGTAAATATTGTAAAGTACAGTGTCTTTTATAAGAACTGCTGTGGCACGCAAGATAAAAGACACAAATAAATTCATATGGATGTAGTTTCTTGTGCAGTGAAGTTTTCTGTAGGAAGAAAATATATCAGTCCTTTGGAATATATTTAATTAAAACAATAGCAACAACAACTAAATACTGTTATAGTCATATTGCTGCCATTAATGGATTTTAATTAGGAATTACCTTTGTAAGGCTTATTATTAGAAAAAACAAACAAACAAACAAAAACCCATAAATTTATATCAGAATTTAAATAATAAACTTAAATATATGAAAACAAGACTGTGCATACTGTGGTCTATAATTTAAAAATACATGCAAATTTGTACTAACCTGAGCAAAGAAAGTATAAGGAGAGCTAATACAAGTGAGATGAGAGAAAAATAATATCCTATAGTGTACAACAGCTGTAGTGTAGTAAGTAATTGATGTTCTTCTTCCTAGGAACAAAAAAGAAAGACAATATATCTATACAATACATGCAGGCAGGTAGGCAGGGCATGAACACAGCTTAGAAAACTTTGAGTCCAACTTTGTGTTGCAGCATAGCCAGGGAGGGTTTCTGCTGTCTGTTCCCTGCACATCCTCATGAAATCGTTCCAGGAAAGACACAAATGGAGAACAGCCTTAGTTTCTTTTCAAATTAGAATGAACTCAAGGTCTAATTTCCAGAATGATCTTGCACAAACACCATCATGAGTCTTAATTACAGCTAGTCATTGCCATGACTACTTGCAACAAAAGGATCCTACTGGTTTAATTGCAGAGTTAACTGACTCCACCTGTGCAATCAAATGCAATTATTATTTGTGTGGCCTGAGGACACAGCTACATAACAGTCCTGTGTTCACAGTTTTCAGAGTCAGCTGTGTCTGAGTCATTGAAATAGACTGACTTCTGCCATGAAGGTTTCTTTCACAACAAACAGAATGATTTAATTATTGTTTACTAGCATGTCTTTGAATGTCTTTGAGACATGGTGGGACAGATCCCAAGAATGGATGGAAAGATGGAAAGATACTGGCTCTTTAGGAAGGACAGACAGAAGAGGTGAGGAGGGGGCATTGCCCTCTATGTTAATGAGCTGCTGGAGTGTATATGGCTCTGCCTGTGGTTAGATGAGGAGCTGACAGAGCTGATGGGACAGCATTAAAGGGATAGTAGGGATAGGGAACATTATCAGGAGAGTGCTGCGTGCCACCTGACCAAGAAGACCAAGCAGATGAGGCCCCCTGTAGCCAGATAGAAGGAGCCTCGCATCCTCAAGTCCTTTTCCTCATGTAGGACTTCAAACACCACAGTATCTGTTGGAGGGACAGCACAGCAGGGCATATCCAGGAGGTTCCTGAAATGCATTGATGACAACTTCTTTCTTCAGATGATAGAGGATCCAATGAGGAGAGATGTTATGCTGGACATCATTCTCACCAACAAAGAGGGACTGGTGGGGAATTTGAAACTCAAGGGCAGCCTCAGCTGCAGAGATCATGAATTTGGGGAGTTTTTTATTCAGAAGACATCAAGGAAGGAGCACAGCAAACTTGGACTTTGAGAGCTGACTTTGGCCTGTTCAGGGATCTGCTTGGTATCATACCATGGGACAAAGCCCTGGAGGGAAGAGGGGCCCAAGAAAGCTGGTTAATATTCAAGGATTACCTCCTCCAAACTCAGGAGAGATGTATCCCAACAAAGAGGAAGTTGGGGAAAAACACCAAGAGGCCTATGTGGAGAAACAAGGAGCTCCTGACCAAATTCAAGCAGAAAGAGGATGCCTACAGAGGGTGGAAGCAAGGACAGATGCCCTGGAAGGGATACAGAGATATTGCCTGGGCAGTCAGGGATCAGGTTAGGAAAGCCAAAGCCCTTTTAGAATTAAATTTGGCCAGAGACATCAAGGGCAAGAAGAAAGGCTTCTATAAGTATGTCAGCGATAAAAGGAAGGCTAGAGAAATTGTGGGCCCTCTCTGGAAGGAAACAGGGGACCCAGTCATACAGGATATGGAGAAGGCTTAGATACTTACTGACTTTTTTGCCTCAGTCTTCACTGAAAAGAGCTCCAGCCACATAGCCCAGGCCCCAGAAGGCAAATTCAGGGACTGGAAGAATGCTGAACTGTCCGCTGTAAGAGAAGATCAGGTTTGAGACCAGCTAAGGAACCTAAAGGTGCATAAGTCCATGAAACTTGATGAGATACATCCATGGGTCCTGAGGGAACTGGCGTATGTAGTTGCTACATCTCACACCATCATATCTGAGAAGTGGTGTCAGTCTAGTGAAGTTCCTACTGACTAGAAGACAGAAAACATAACCTCTATTTTTAAAAAGGGAAAAAATTAAAACCCTGGAAACTAGGGTCCAGGCTGGATGGGGCTTTGAGCAATCTGGTCGAATAGAAGGTGTCCCTGCCCATGGGACAGGGAGGATAGAATTAGATGATCATTAAGATCCCTTCCAATCCAAACCATTCTATGATTCTATGCCATGAGCAAGACCTCAGAGAAAGAAGGGAAGCGCTTCTTTTGATATTTGTTCCTGCTATATTTTTTTCTTTGTGTGTCTGCCTCCCATATGTTCATTTTGCTTTTCTAGTTCAATAAAAGCTTCTCTACAGAGAGGACATGGAGATGCAGAATATGTTATTTTCATAATCCACATCTGCCCTACAAATATTTTCTTGGAACTTGTCTCTTTTCCTTAGTGTTTTTTCTGTTTCCTATATGAACTATCTACTTGTTCAGCCAGAGATTTTAACACTCTCTTCCTGCCAGTTAGTTGTCTCTGATGAATTTATGCTAATAAGTACTATCTGGATAGCAGAGTGAGCTGTGCCTGCTGGTAGAAACTCTCTTGGAAGGAGTGGAAGTGCCCAGGAAGAACAATGTGGGTGCATGGCCATACTCAGCTCTATGAGAAGATTCAAACAGGCAAGAACCTAAGAAATAGAGTGAGTTATCACCTTGGTTATGACATTTTTTCAAAACCAAAGTATATGAAATCAGGGTGAATAATCCATTGTGGGTGGATACTAGCTCTGGTATGTTGGCATGTTATGCTTAACATCCACATTTAGGATTGATTGGAAAGCCTTCAGAGAAACCTCACACATGATGACTTAATGTGGTACTTTTCTGCCCACAAGTTACAATCCAGAACAGTCAATAGACAATGGAAAGCCCTCAGTACTCGTGGAATGTTATTGCACTTGAATAAACTGTGAGGTTGGAAATCCATATACTCACTATAACTTACTAAGATCTTGGTAACATGTGGATCCTGAAATAGCAGTGCTTAATAAAGTAATCAATAAATAATATGATCAATAAATTCTTAATTAATAATATAGTCAGTAAATTAATAAAAAATTAAAGTGCTCACCAAAGTAACAAAAGGTGAATTATAAAGCATTCAATGGTAATAGTGTTCATCTAGGAGACTTTATTTTGACATCAGTAAAGCTGAACTTTATGGCAAAAGAAGTTACAAGAAACTGAAATGAGGTAAACTGTATACTTTATTGTTATCTGAAATTCTGCTGCATTTGTTGCACATCATTGCATGGTTGGGCAAGCAGGTAGCAGGATTGACCCCTGGGTTCCTGTTTGAACTCTTTTTTGCTTAAAACATAACATGAAAACTGAAAGCGAGCATATGCAGTTGCAAAGTGTTTTCTCATAGAGAACATGCAGCCAGGCTTCTTTGCAAACACAGAGGAGTAAGGATGATTCCCAGCTTCAAAACCCAAAGATGATTAGTAAATATTTTAATTTTATCTTCACTACTAAGAGCTGAGTGTTGTCAAGGTATTTCCACTATGCTCTATATTCAGCCCGGGATAGTAATTTCCCATTCTGTCGAAGCCCAGTGCTGGGGCTGTATGCTGTATCAGGCAGGATAGAATTTGTGTTATGTTAAATCCTCCAGTCTGCTGCTAGCTAGATTATGAGGTGAAATTCCAGGCAAACGGAAAATAAGGGTTTGCTTTTCAAACTTTTTCAGTTGACCAGTTAACAGCTCATTAAGTACCAAAAAGCTCAGGAGGCCATGGGGAATGAAGCTGTCTGACTTTGGCAGAACAGGGGTCCTCTGAGATTAAGCTATTTGCTAGGAAAGTCATTGGGTTCTTCCCTTCCCTTCCCTTCCCTTCCCTTCCCTTCCCTTCCCTTCCCTTCCCTTCCCTTCCCTTCCCTTCCCTTCCCTTCCCTTCCCTTCCCTTCCCTTCCCTTCCCTTCCCTTCCCTTCCCTTCCCTTCCCTTCCCTTCCCTTCCCTTCCCTTCCCTTCCCTTCCCTTCCCTTCCCTTCCCTTCCCTTCCCTTCCCTTCCTTCCCTTCCCTTCCCTTCCCTTCCCTTCCATTTTATTAGGAGGAATTCAGCACATGTGAACAGTGGATTGAACAGAAAATAATTTGTTTCATCTAAAGCAGGAATCCTCCTTAATCTTTCCTCTTCTGCTTCTTCTAAGCAGGTTTCCTACTTGGTAATCTAAATAAAATGTGAATATCTTTTGCAGGTATTCAATAGAAATGTTTTATCAGTTATTCAGGAAGGGATTAAGGAGATTAAAGTATTAAACCATAATATAAAACATCATACTTACTTTTTTTCTGAAATGAGTTTCCTCAGAACATTCTGAACTATCACGCCAAATGTCTGTGGAGTTTTCCTTTGTTTGCCAAATTCCTTCATCCAAGCAGACTCTGTATACATTTCCTGCACTTCCTGAAAGTAAACAGAGGTTTAGTCTGAAAGGTCAAAATAAAGATATAATTTTTCATGCACATTTCAAGGATTTCTCCCTCATACCATAGCAATAGTACCTGCAAAAAAAAAAAAACAAAAAAAAAAAAAACAAAAAACAAACAAAAAAAACCACCAAGAACACCCACATCTTCTACTTTGTTTTTGACAATATATTTTTAATATTTACACAGAAGAAAGTTGGAATATAATATTGCAAAAATCAGTTCCCAATATATACTCAATCTTTACAAAAAACATGGTTACTCCATCCAAAAGATAAGCCCACGTTTCATTTTAATTCTTTTTCCTTACTATGTTCCTAAGTTCTGTCAACACTGCCTATGCTGTGCTGCAAAAATTATATGAAGATGACTGTGGCTTAACTAGGGAATTATCTTTCTTTTGAATTTCAAAGCACCTGTGGTTGATGTTTTATTTACGCACTTTGGGACCCTATTAGCAGGTGGAACTTTCTTGGCTTTCAGTGTATTGTAGTTTATACTAAATTAGAATTTGCCCATAACATCAGAAAAATGGTATGGAGATTCTGGCTGATGTTTGTTTTTCAGTGTCTCCACATTTTCTCCATGTTTTCTCTCTTAGCCTCTTGACCTCATTTTAAGATTGTCTTCAACAGATGCCTTCCTAAATCATTAGATGATTTCTAATCAGACCTGGGCTTTTTCATTCATTCTTGAATTCACAAGTGTTTAATTATAAATATAACAAATATATATAAAATGTGTTGGAGCAACCACCAGAAAATCTCATTTTATTTAGAATAACTGGAATTGAGAGAACTGTTTTTAGAGCACACATTGCTCTGACAGCAGGAGCTTTGTGGCAGGATTGCTGTCCGTGCCCAGTGTAGTTTGTGTGGTCTAACAAGTAGAGGAGTTGAAACAGGTTCCCCAGGCAGAAAATGGCTTTTCCACTTTTACTGGCAATCTGGCACACTGCACAGAGAGGAAGGTTTTCTTGAAGGACATAATTTATGCAAGATGTTTTTTTGGTGGTGTTTTTTGTTTTTTTTTAATTACAAAAAAAAAAGGGGGGGGGGGTGGGGATCCTGGAATTCCAGATAAGGTCAGATCAGGAGGAATCTTAAGGTCTGTGTTAGTTACAGACCAACTTCCTGAGAAATTGCTCTGCTGTGATGTGGTCCCATTCTGTTGCCAGGTTAGCTCTCTAGGCATTAAACTGACCAATCTGACACACAAAGTGGGAGAGAAGAAAAAATACCTTCTCAGTTCTTATGCATCAGCAGCATCAGCATTAGGGAGAAGTTTGGTCACACTTGATAAACTCTCATCTTCAAAGTGGTTATGCAGGAACCTGACTGTGAATTTGTGCCTTGTGATTCAAGAGCCAGGAACAAAATAGACCAGAACCATCTGTCCTATATCTGGATTACCAACATACATTCCAAGAAAAGTTATTACATTCAAGTTACCATTTTCCAACCATGGCAAATAGGAAGGACAGGGAACAGAGACATTTCCCGGGGGTGAGTAAGGCCAGCAAACAAACTGATCAAATGTTCCATTGCAATGTATTCCTGGGGAGAAAAGAAAATACCAAGAATCACTGTGATTCTGTGAAATAAATATTTAAAAAAAAATTAGGCAATGGATAATCATGAAAAACAATGAATACTGAGTAACCTGCAATCACACAGGTTCATTCTGTGTGGAGTAGATACCAATCCCATCATATAGAGACCTGTGTTCTAGACAGAAATTATTTAGATTTAACATAAACTTTGTGCATTCACAGTGCAGTGTTTGGTGCACAGTGCAGAAATAGCTGCTGTCCTTCCCTGGATGTACGAAACAGCAGTAGGTATTACACGCTTCATTATGAACTAAGGGTGTTATTCAAAATCAGCCTGGGGCCTCTGTTGTCCAAATGTAACAGATTCCAGGTATGTGAATTCTGTTTGTACATGCCACTGTGTTTGTACATGCCACATAGTTTTAGCTGATAAATGGAAAATATTCTACTTTTCATGACTGCTCTGACACCAATTTTCAGCACAGACAACTATAAACTTCTCTGATAGTGAACCTGGGGAACTAGAGGATAGAGAGCTTACAATCTCTCAGAAAAGCTCAGTCATTTTTAAGAAGTCATGTCACTCACAGGACTCAAGGTTAAGATACACCACTTTAAAATGCAGAAGTGAAATGGTTTGGTCATGTTAGAGTAAGATAAAATAAAATGCATTAATGACTGCACTAGTTTCTTGGTTATTTTCTGTCCTTTTGTCTTTTTTTCTAGGGTAAGTTGAAATTCTCTTCTCTCAACATTAAAGCTTGCTGCCCATCCATGGTAGAAGAATATATCCTGGTTCATTTTCCATAACACTCAGCAATACTTTGAGAATCTTGAGTGGGAAGAAGAATATAGGGAACAACAAATACAGCTGTGGGTTATCTCACCAAAAACTTTATGGCCTGCTTCTGCTAAAATACAAGGGCAATATTTGCATTCTTAATAGTTCCATAATATTTTTTGAGGCTGAACTTGTGACTTTATCTGCCTTGCATAGTTGTTAACATCTATAGCTGCATTTTTGTTGTTCATTTCACCAATATCTCATGAGGGACACAAAATTGGAGAGGAGAGGAGAGGAGAGGAGGAGAGGAGAGGAGAGGAGAGGAGAGGAGAGGAGAGGAGAGGAGAGGAGAGGAGAGGAGAGGAGAGGAGAGGAGAGAGGAGAGAGAGGAGAGGAGAGGAGAGGAGAGGAGTTGGAACTTCTCCAACTACTCACTACTCAGACAGAGCCTGTGTCATCCTCTCCTGAAGACAGACACCTAGCTGAGCAGAACTTATACTTTTAGTGTAAAATAATTGCAGATTATGAGCTCCCCTTTTGCTAAAGAGCATAAATAATAATAAAAAATATAAAAAATAATTAAAAAAATAAATAAAGAGCACACACACAGAAGTAGGAGACGTGGACTCAGGTCCTCCCTCTGCCACTTTTCAGGAGAAGACACTGTCCTCTGAACCTATTCTGCTCTTGAGCTAAGACTTCGAGTTACAGAGTTGGGAGAATATATAAGTAACTGCAAGCTAAAGGTTACAGATGCCAGGTGAACATGGGGCAACCTGTTTACTGTGCCTTAGTTTATTAACCTAATTACATTACTGCAAAAAGCATAAGCAGTCCTGTGAGAAGAGAGCAGGCCCCAGGTGCCTTGACTAGGCAAAAACCAGACTATGCTTTACCTCATTTGTTTTGTGTTTTTGTCTACCATGTCTCAGTTTCTAAATGAAAAATGGGAGTCATCTCATTTTCCCTTGATAACCTGTTGTCTTATGGCTATTACAGTTTCCAGGAATATTGTTTTGACTTTCCTTCAGGCTGAAAAGGGGAGTGAACATAGGTTTCCTTCAACTAAATGATGTGTTTCATCCAAGTAATGGGTAGCAGCCATTTCTTGACTGTGTATTCTCTGACATATCATAATGGTAGCTCAGGACCAGATGTTCAGTAGTTCTTTTCAGTATATGATCTGGTTTTATATATAGAAACCTAATATATTTCAGGACAAAAACAGCCATTAACTTCATGACTGCATGTCTGCAGGTCTAGTTACAGCTGACTGTTTACATTTAGAATTTACATTTAGAGGCACACACTTGGGCAAAGCAAGGAAAATAATTTGAATTTTGCATATTCAGCAATGTTACTTAACACATTTTTTGATTGTTCTGCTTGTTTCCTTACCAGCATCTACAGTTGATTCCTGTAGCATTTTCAAGCATTCTTGTTTATATTTGTTCCATCCGGTAGTTGTTTTTTCCAGCAGAGATGCTTTGGCCTGTGAGTAAGAACACCTTGCATGAGGAAAATCAGAGCCTTGTGGTGTTTTACTGAGGTAGTTTCCTTCCATTATAACAAATTTATGAACAGAGGAGAGGAGAGGGTAGGAGAATGGAGACAAGTTAGGTAAGCAGGGAGAAAAAGGCCTTCCTTCTCTAGGAGACTCTTACTGAAATTTCATTAGTTGTTTTCTTTGCCTGAGCAAGAAATGTATTGTCATGGTACTCTGTTACCATAGAAACCACCACCACCAAAAAAAAAAAAGACAATTATTTCCTCCACTGTAGAAAATGTGTGCTGATCTTCAAAACTTCTTCAGTTTTTCCAAGCCTTTTACAATGATTTTATGCCAAAGTCAGCTAACCGTTCTCATGTAGGTTTCTTATTTATGTTTCTGTTTTTGCTAGACTAATTTATGAATCTGATTTATAACAGTTTTGAGGGCTGTTTATTGTTACAGCTTTTTTAAAGATAATCAACCTTACTTCAGTACTTCAGTAATAATTTGAAAGTATAATAAACAAACAATAATATTTAGCTGCTGTTATCTATTCTGCAATGCATTTTGTGCTCCACCTGAGCACTTCAACAGACACTTCTTCCTCCAACACCTGCAACTGTGCTATAGACACTTTTATTTTCCTAAGCATTTTGAAAAACACTCAATCATTCATCTGAGTTATCTTATCCTCTTTGCCTAGAGATGGTACAGTTTTACTGTCTCCTCTGAAAAGTTAGATTTCTGGAGAATATAATCTGGAATAATTACTTTTATGTGGTTTGCTTAAAGAGAATAGAAAGAGGAGCACTTCAAAACCAATTTCTCTTTTACTGTTGTAGTGTAGTATAGGCTCAACTTTGGATTTATTCAGTTTGGTGACAGTGAATTCTGCACTTTCCCCTCTTAGTGCCTGGAAAATCAACCCTTCTGCAATGTCAAGACCCCATCTGGTCCTCTTGGCTGTTCCTTTCCCTAAATGAGCACTTTGATGTACAAATCCTGGTGGGCTGCATGAGAGAACATAGTTTCATTTATATAGACAGCATAGAAGCTGCAGAACCACATTAAATAACAAAATTGTAGAATCATTTAGATTGTAGAAGACCCAGTAGATCATCAAGTCCACCCACCAACCAACACTACCATTAAACCATATCCCTGAGTGTCACATCCATATATCTCTTAAATATCTCCAAGGATGGCAACTCTACCACTTCCTTAGGCAGCCTGTTCCACCTGACATCTAAAGATTTTCCTGGGGCAACTTGAGGTGGTTGTCTTGCATTCTGCCACTTGTCACTTGAGAAAAGAAACCAGCCTCTACCTTGCTCCAGCCTCCTTTCAGGCAGTTGTAGAGAGAGATGAGGTCTCCTCTCAGCCTCCTCTTCTCAAGACTAACCAACCCCAGTTCCCTCAGCTACTCCTCATATGTCTTGTTTTCCAGTCCCTTCATCAGCTTTGTTGCTCTTCTCAGAACACATTCCAGCAACTCAGTGGGTTCCTTGTAGCATGTGGCCCAAATCTGAACACAATACTTGAGAAGTGGTCTCACAATTTGGATAGTGGGCTAAGTACAAGTTTTCAAAAAAGCAATTATCCTTACACCAAACAATACCTTTTAGCTCACCAGGGAAAATCCATTTCCTTTTGTCTGGACTACCCCCTTTTTGGAAACTGCCTTTCACATCTGTGCAATTGTACTGGGCTTGTCTGAGCTAGGTGATGTACCAAGGACTGGCACCTGTACCTTATTCTTTGAAGCTAAGTTTGTTGGAAAATAAATAATACTGTATTTATTTACTTTCAAACAAGAACATTGGTGAATATTATCTACTTGTTATATGAGACCACACCCTATGCATATTTTTGCTATGTAAGATGTTGCCTGCTCTCTGCTCTGCTTTGAGAAGCTCAGCTAATTTCCAGACACTGTGCTTTAAATTCCAGGGAGTAGAAAGACTATAATTATTCTTCAGTTGATGGGCTTGTAAGATAAGGAGAGAATATTTACATCAGCTATGAGAAAGGAATGCATGTTTCCAAAATAAATATCTTGATATTTCCCTCATGTGGGTCTCAAAATGCTGAAAGCATGGGGAGATTCTTTGTACACTCCTGGGTCAGTGAACCTCATTCAAAGAGGCAAATAGAAGATGACGCACTTGTGGAAAAGACTGCTTGATTTAAGAGATAGCACTTCTGTTTCTAATAAACAAATGCATTAAACAACTATGGAAACAGAAAAAGCCATATAATGGCGACCTGGCTGCTTGTTTGGTTCCATTACTAGAGAAAGAGTTGAGAAGCTGGCATGAAGAAACTCAGTAAATAAAATGGAGGAACAGATCAAGCATAAGTGCAGATTCATTTCCTTTTCTAATGCAATTGTCATTCCCTGCAAAACAATAAGCAGAGTCAGATACTCAATACCCGGTCACTATTGATGTAAATGTCTGTGAGGTGATTGGTTTTCTGCCATAAGACTTTCTGATAAAAGTAAATAAATTAAGGGAAATTAAGGAGGTGAGACACCTTGATGTCCTGTGTCTGTTTAGCTAAGCGAAAAGGATTCAACAAGAATATCAAAGAGACAGGACAAAGATACAGATTTTGTATCTTATATTTGTGTCGTTAATATTCTTCAGAAAGGAGTGCAGGTTCTCTCAGAAAGAGGAAGATCTACAGCCTGAGTCAATGTGAGGAGTACAGCAATAACTGCTGTGATCACAGGGACTTTTCCTGCTTTCACCATGTGTGAAGACCTAGTTTTCTGGGTGTGTTCTAAAAAGAGATGACACATCACTCTGCATCTGAAATGGGTCTGTGATTAGAGATCCCAATGAGGTTTGATTGTGATTTAAATTTTGTGCTACTCTGCTACCAAAACTTAAATGCATGCTCTCAAGCTTTTAGGTAAACTTAAAGTGATCTCACTTTCTGACAACATGCAGCTAAACATGGCTTTTTGTCTCAGTTTTACATTTCAGTTGACATTAAGGCACTCTAGCATTTAAACAGAACTTTAACCTCAGAAGAAATTAAACACCAAAGTCCAAGACAGAAGCTCAGCAAGTCTGTGACCTTTTGACCTAAACTGGACATTTCTTCATTTCAGAATGTCTGACAATTTGATGGTAATATATAAACCACATTAGTCCTAAATGCTTGCACCAAAGTTCACTGGCACTGAAATTTTATCAGACTTTCCTGGAAGGGTCTTTAAGTTCATTTAGTTCACTCAGAGCACACAAGGTGCACAAAGTTGACACAGCTGCTTAAAAATAAGCAGAGAACATTGCGTGAAGCTCTTGTTTAAGAGGTGGATTAAAATAATAAACCTCCAAAGTTGCAAATGGACTGATTTAAATCTGTTTTTTTTTTTTTTTTTTTTTTTTTTTTTTTTTTTTTTATAACTGACTACATTTTAATCAGGATTTCACCTTTTAAATTTCTTATACTAAGCTAACAATAAAATGAAATGGTTCTGTTTATTTGGACAATGCTATTATGGTTAGAAAAAAAAGTAATAAAATTTTGGAATTAATTAGAAATAATGTAAGAGTTCAAAGGATTATTCATTCTTTCATCCATCATCCTGATTTACTCTGATTTCATATCTCTAGAGGTGTTTGCTAGAACATGTGGATATAGTGGTATATGATTATTGTTTTTTCTTTATTGTTAAATATAAAAAAATTACACATTTCTTTACATGATCTGTTGTAAACAAGTTACAGGAAACACTACTATAAATTAACTCATGGTGGTTTATAGTCTTGTAAAACTTTGACTTCACAAAACTCATTGGGAGATTTTCTTGTTAATATTGATGGCACCAGCACTTAGGTCAAGACTATGGATTCAAAGCTTCTCAAAAAACTGGGAGATGCTTCAGTTCTATTCTCATTTATATGAAAAAAGCTCTAGATTCAATTATCCAAAAGCAATAAGAATATTTACTACTAAAAAAAAAATAAATCAGAATATGTGTCTCCTGGTAATTTTTTTTTCAGGATAAAAAAGGAAAAGGAGCAAAATTAGAGTCTTTACAGCACATACACATGCAAATATATTTCCTGTGGAATTAAGTGTAGGACAAGTGTATAGAAATAACTGACTACTTTCAGTTTAACATAAACCTATCTATTGTGTTCATTTTCTTGTATAGTTATTTCATATAAATTTACCCTAAATTTATATAGATTTTTTTTTTTTCAGACAAATTGGAATTTACTACAACATCTTAAGATTTTTTGTTTTAACGTTACTGAACTCATGGTACACATTAATGAACGTGAAAATGATAAAAGAAAAAGAGAAAGAAAAAAAGAAAAAGAAAAAGAAAAAAGAAAAAGAAAAAGAAAAAGAAAAAGAAAAAGAAAAAGAAAAAGAAAAAGAAAAAGAAAAAGAAAAAGAAAAAGAAAAAGAAAAAGAAAAAGAAAAAGAAAAAAAAAGAAAAAGAAAATTTCATTTAAGTGAATTACACAGAGATTCATTAAATACTGAAAGTTCTTAAAATTTTAAGACAATATAGATGAAGAAACATGCTTTTAAGTTTTTATAGATTTATAAGAAATAGAAGTGAGCAGTTTGCTAAAGCTCCACAAGAAATAAAAGTAAATGTTGTATAAATTTTTTGCTAGCCTTCTTAAGAAGCTGAGGTGCAGAACAACACCAATAACCTTGGATTGCATTGGAGATGTAACACTCACTCTTCATATATGTCTAAAAGGCTAAGCTGTAGCTCTGTAAACAAACCTAAGGTGACTTTAGAATACAAGTACAAAAAATAGTAGAAAATAAACACATTTCAGAATGAAATTGATATCTGAGGCAAGCTGTAAAATAAAAATAATAATGATCAATATTGTTATGAAAAGAAATTGCATAAACACAAGTAAACACAACTTATTCACTGTATGAATCAACGTTAATAGCAGAAATCTGTAATAAATTACCTATTCAGAATGAGTTACGATACAAAATTTTACAGCTTCTCAGTCAACATTTCTCATAACTCATTTTATCATTAATTGTTATATCAGAACTATTTTTGAAACAAACATGCAGTGAAGGTTAAAATGCTGTGTGATAGCTTTATACTGCTAATTATTAATTATTGAATTAGCTTACCTGTTTAACTAGAAATAATATCATGACAGAGCTGGCAGGTCCAGCAGATATTCTGGACCAGAGCCCCATGGTGGAGCAGAGACCAAAAAGTGTCATCATGCCCATTCTAATAATTTTGTACCCAATATGCTGCTATTTCCCTCTGCTATAGATCAAATATATCACCCAGTCCTGTGAAAAAAAGAAAAAACAACAACAAAACAACAACAACAACAAAAATTATCTTCTTTTACAAGTGTAACCGTTTCAAGAATCTTCTTACAAACAAGCCTGGAAGTCTACAAGAATGTCTAGGCTTGATGGACTCCAACTAAGTCTTGTATTTTTTCTGATTAAAGGCACAGATAATTTTCTCTAAACTTCACAGAAAGTCTGCTTACTGCAGCTTGTCCCTTAGCCAATAAGAAGTCACAAAACTATTAAAACATTAAAGGGCTGATCCTGTTCCCTTGAAACTTCATGGGAATTTTGCCAGTGGTTTTGCAAGAATGGAATACAGCTCCACGAATATATACATATATTTATACATACCACATGAAACTATTAAAAAATGACCCAGAATGAAAAAAAAAATGTAGGAAGGTTTCTGAATCAAGTTAGTTGATAGGAAGCTGCTCAATAATAGCTGTTTTAATCATTTCTGATCATACTTCATCAAATATGTACCATCAGTACATACTTCTCAGAGAGACTCTAAATATACAAAACCTGATCTAACCAGCAGTTCAAGTTTTACTGCAGTTTTTGTAATGTTCAAAGTTTTCTCACAACGTCAGCTGCAATTTTTGAGAAGCTGCCAATGAATTTCAGCTTGAATTTTCAAAACATTTTTTGCAGCTTTTCTAGATTCAGAGGAAAGCCTGAAAATATTAATAACTGTATATGATATGTAGACTCATGAAATGAAAAAAGTCCATTTGCAGTACAATAATTTTCATGTCTGTTTTATGCTTTAAGTTGACAGCATGGAGAGTCAGGTAGGTGTTACCTTCTTCTGCATTTCCAGAATTGCTATTGGTACAGGAAGATTCTATGTACCTTTCCCATACAGCTGAGCAAGAAGGGGCAGAGATGTGCCACTAAGACCATAGAGCCAGTGGTAGCCCAGTTTTCAACACTAGACATAGGCTATATCTAAACTCTGCAATACAATCATTCAACCTGTCCAGCAGTCATGGATTCATAGAACCATAGAATCATAGAACAGCTTAGGTAGAATGAAACCAAAGATATCCTGTTCCAACTCCTCGCCATGGGCAGGGATGCCACCCAAGGTTGGCCAAGGCCCCATCCAACCTGGCCGTAAACACCTCCAGGTATGGGACATCCACAGCTTCCTGGGGATGCCTGATTCAGTGCCTTACCACCCTGAGTGAATAATTCCCTTCAATATCTAATCTCCCCTCTTTAATTTAAAACCATTCCCTCTTGTTCTGTCATTGCCTGCCTAAGCAAAAAGTTGCTCTCCATCTTTTTTATAAGACCATTTTAAGTACTGAAAAACTGCAATGAGGCCTCCCCATAGCCTTCTCTTGTTCAACCACAGCTCTCTCAGCCTTTCTTCATAGGAGAGATGTTCTAGCCCTCTGAACATCTTTGTGATCCTCCTCTGAGGACCTCCTCTGTGACTTTAATAGATCCACATTCTTCTTGTGCTGGGGGCCTCAGGCCTGGATGCAGTACTCCAAGGGAGGTATCACAAGGGCAGAGTAAAGAGATACAATCACTTCTGTTAACCTGCTGGTCACTGATCTTTTGATGCAGCCCGGGGTGCAGTTGGCTGTCTGGGCTGCAAGCGTGCACTGCTGGCTCATGTCAAGCTGTTTATCCACCAGAACCACCAAATCCCTTTCAGTAGGGCTTCTCGCAATGAGTTCTTCTAGTCTGTACTCATGATGGGGAAAGACCCAGCCCAGGTAAAGCACCTTCAACTTCATTAGGTTCACATGGGCCCAGGTCCAAATTTGTCCAGGTCCATTTGAATGGCATCTATTCTTTCTGTTCTGTTGACTGCACCACTCAAATTGGTGTCATATGCAAACTTTCTGAGGGTGCACTAGACCCCATTGTTTATGTCATTGATAAGGATATTAAATATTTATCAGCAGTGGGTGTGTCCTGACTCACTACCCACTCACATGCCCAAGGTTTTGTCTAGATGAATCAAGGGGTGGAAGGGTATGATGTATAACCATATGCAATCTTTACATGAAACCTGGATGTGGTAGATAAATATGCTGGGACATGGAACGAGAAAGTGCTCTGGAGACAAGCATTTCAGTATGGAAATGGACCATCCTGCTCTAGAGAGGCCTGGCAGCAAGGGCGTTGACTGCTGTCCCTATTGTGCCTGTGTCCAGGAATTGTTCTTCTGAGTATACAACCTCCCAAAGCCACACCTAACAGTAATTATAAGGACCAGGAAGATGCACCTCAAAACACCCAGAGCAACTGCTTAGCTGTATATTGCTACAAGTGATAAATGCAAATTTTCTAATTGTTATGTGAGTAAGATCAACTAACTCTGTAGTAGATTACAAACAGCAAACCCGAATAATGCTCTGGCATTGGAGCTCTCTTGAGACCACCATATATATCTTGATGATAAAGAAATCATGAAGCATACCTAGAACCTAAATGAGCAGATTCACAGGATCTTCTACAATACATCCTTGATATTTTTCAGGACCATGCAATACCTCCCATCTGCTCTACTGATAGCTGGTACCCAGCAGCTAGTGGTCGGTTTTCCGTTTTCAACTTCTACAAGTTGCTTTTACCTATTCACTTTCTAAAATCATCATTTATGCTTGATCAAGCTTTGTGGCCTCTCTTCAGAGCTAAAAATACCCAGGGCTAGGTCAATGAAGGAGACCTACGTTACAAGGTCTTGTATCTCTTTTTTGCTCTTACACCAAGGTCCACCTTTGTGTCTCCTGCTTTCCTCAGCACCATCATTTATGGTTTTGCTGTTTTTGCATCTCCTGATACCTCTAACACCATCAGTTTTGTTGGAGTGCTCTACTAAACCCCAAAATCATAATCCTGAATATGGTAAACAGGTGTCTTCCTCTCTTGTAGTGCTAATATGGTTTCCAGGTGATCTATCAATGCAAGAAGGGGCATATACTAAACTCTGCTTTCAGCATCTTTCATCTTGACTACACCTTTCTGTAGCACATAATGGCATTTTAGGAGACTTTCAGTACAAGGAAAAGGGATTTGTGCCAAAGGAAAAAAAAAAAGCAAGAAAAAAAGCTCCATATTTGTCACATAATCCAATCAATATATCAATGGGTACTAAGAATGCAACAATATTTCTATTGTTCAAGTTGTCAGATACATTGAATACAAAGGAATCTAAGCCAGGCTCATAAAAAAGAGCAATTATATGGATCAATTTTGTTTTAAGACATGCTCCTGCCTTCACTCCAGGTGTAATTTTACAGTTGATCTAAAGACAAACTCTCTTTGGAAATGCCACTAATTAATGAATGGTTAAGTGCTAATATTCAAGAAAGGAAGATACCTGACCAGCAATCTTGATTACTTCCTCAAGCTTAATTTTTCATAATTGAAAATAGGAACTCTGCACAGCTGGGGAGTGGAAACATTCCCTCCATTTTTCTTAGGCCTTGGATGAAGCTACAAAACAACTAAGGAGGTCCTCAAAGTCCTTTGCTTATGTGCATCACTCCCACAATCATAAGGAAAGTGGAAATCCTATGATAGGAAGAATAAACAAATGACATAAAAGGCCATATATATACCTCTGCCTGCAAATTTTAGGACTAAGTACTGATGTTTTATGGACTCATTATTTCCCCAGCAGCTTCTTGTCTTAAAAATTAGAATGGGTTTTGTTAAAAGATACACCTCTGTCCTGTGGTATCACTTTCCCTTAGTGAATGTTTTTGACCTTACAGTCAAAGTGATAATTTAATTACACTCCTGCTCTTTCTTTTTTTTTTTTTTTTTTTTTTTTTTTTCATCACGTTTTTATAATAATATTCATACACTTACACAGCAGGGACAGGTGGATTTGACCTGTTCATGTTCCTGTAGGTTGTGCATTGTTTTGCAGGGACCCTGTCCCTTGTTCCTTTTAGCACAAATGTTTTTTTAATATCTCATCATGCAACAACTGTTCCACAAAAGGTTTCACAAAATTCTTCACTCATTTCATAAGAAAAAGTTTAAAATCCTTTGCATTATCAAATAGGCAGAAAAAGACACATCTCTAACATGTCAAGGTGGGAAATGTTTCTTAGGTGGAGGAAAAAATAGCTGTTTCACAGAGTGAACAAACAGATGGGCAGACAAAATTAAGACAATACAGCCTTTTCTCTACTCTTTCACCTAACATTATCAAGGTTTCAATTATGTGTTCATGGAGGAGAACTGGCTAGTGCCCAGCATACTGTCCTTAGCTAAAATGTGTAACTTATGACTTTCATTTGTAACTGGTAGAACTTCAGACAAGTGTGCTCACCTTCCCAGTGGTCTTGGGAAACGATGTAATGCTGTGAAATGCTCTAACTTAGCAACTGTTTTCATCTCTTTAAGAACTTCTTTAAAGTAGGATTCTTGATTGTATTCTATTTAATTCAATGTTCTGTGTAACAGGAGCATTTGGAACTGCAAGGTTAATTTTATTTATTTCATAGGTGAGAAATGTAGAAGCTTCATGAGTCTGACTCCACCTGCTGATCGAGGTAAGTATGTGAATTTTGTTTCTGTAAATATTTTTTTTCTGATCGTATATTGGTGTACTTCCTATGCTTCTGTGTTCTTTGTGTTTCTTCTCCTATGATTCATAGGCCAAACTATAACTTATCTCTTCTCCTCGTATTTATTTCACAAGACATTAGTGCCAAATAACACTGTCCTATATCCTTAATCTCTTCTGCCACATGATTTCTCCTTATGCCCATATCTCTATTTTCTGTCTTAACTACTAAGCTGGTACACTTTGCTGAGAGGAAAAAAGATTGGGATAGTAAACATAGGCAGGTGTTTCACCAGGCAGACATAGCTTTATAAGAGGTTGTTTCTAGAATAATTAATACTGCAGTCCTGAAGGATGCCAGTTTTAGACCCTGGCACAGCAAGACAGCAAAGAGCCTCAGCAGCATTTTCTCTCAGTTTTTTCTCTTTAGTTTTCTCTATTACAGCATTCAGCAGCAGTTACTGGTGTGAAGGGACAAGAAAAGTTGCCAAACCTTTCTGTACAGAACAGAACAAAGGGGATCACTGCATCCGCTTTAATAGCCCTGATGCCAACAACAGTAATGCTGTGCAATATATTTGGGAGACAGGAGATGACAAGTTTGTTGACCGAAAGTTTCATGCTGGGATCTGGTATTCCTGTGAAGAGATTATAAATGGGGAAGGTAAGTAGAAATATGTA